TGGATCGAGCATAAGCAGAGGGAGGGGGAAGAGAAAGAACGATGGAGAGTGACAGGCAGAACTTGATAGTCCAAGAATTGCAGTAAAGGAACCAGGCTTGGCCTTAGAAAATACAAAGAGCCTCTTACCCTCAGAGTTAGAGGGTTTCCCAGACTGAGGCATGTGTGACAATTTAAAAAGTGTTGCAATGTCAACATAAGTCAAAATCATAAAAACACATCCTGTGCCAATATTAAAAAAAAAAGTGAAATGATTTGAAACAAATTTCTGTGAATAAAAACAATTTACCACATGAACATGAGCACTCATAAGGTCATATTTGATTAAACATATGTAGAGTGGGCCGGAAATAGCAACGTCACCATGCACTTGCAGCTGCCAAAAAGATTCTGGTAGTTTATATATGCTGATTTTTTTTTTCTCATGTGTTTGTAAGTGGTTTTAACAGGTTGTAATACATTTTTCTATAAGGATTTTACACTGAGAGCCTGGTGCTCTCTCTTTGTGCGACAGCTTGTTATGTGCATCACATATGGAGAGCTTCTTGCACGAATACTTTGGTTTTTTTTTTGTCTTTTTTACAGCAAGTACAAGTACCGATACTTTATACTCACTGATACCTGCAGACAACTGTTTTGTTTACACTTCGGCTGTCAGCAAGGACACTCCACTGACAGATGAATGAGTTATTGGTTTTTAAGGAAGCGGCGGCCCTGCTCCTTAACCACAGCACTAACACCTGTTCACCCCTCATGGACCAAAGGAATTTTTACATTTCTGCTATGGACCTGTTTATTTGGCGGTAACTTTGTCATTACCCAAGACAACATAATACAAATGAAAAAATAATTAATTTTAAAAATTATATTATACATATACATATATATATATATTTAATTTTTTTTTTTTAAAAGGACAAACAAGGCTTTCTTTCCATGAATATTGTCTTTCAACAATGATCATTTTTCAATCCTTAGACAATACATGTAACAAAACTAATAACCCGCCCCCAAGAACCCTACACTTCTTTCAAGCAGTGTTTAAAAATAAATAGTGTTACTGCACAAACAGTAAGATTTTCTTTAATCTTTCCTATTTAAAATGACACTAACATTTATAATTCTGGTACAAAGCATTAAAAAGTTATTCACAAATGAAATAATTTTTTTTTTAATTTTGCACTTTTTTTATGTGAAACATGTAAATGTATGTTAAAGGTTTAAAGGATAAGTTCAACTTTCAGAACATATTACACCCTTTTTTATGGTGGAACATGTAGCATCCCAATGCTGCAGCTGCTGCTCAATCTTCTCCCACTCTGTGACACACGTACACAAGGAGAAGTTCCCCGTACTAGTTGTCACTGTTTAAAAACAGCACGGCCATGCCGAGTTCCACCACACAGCCACGTCATTCATTCACATTGTTCTGTGAATGAATGAACTACAAGTCCCGACAGCTTTAGCAGCTGTCGGCTTGTAGTTCTCAATGAACTACCATGGCATTGTTTCTTACTGTCCATATATCTGCTTGCTCGTACATCACGTATAGGCAAGCAGATATACTGACAGGTATGCAGGAGATGCTGATCGCTGGTGCAATGCTTTACAGGCTCCTGCAACCAAAGATAAAAAAATGCACATTTTTTTACCTGCAGAAAATGTGCATTTATTATTTTTGCTCAAAAGGTGAACTTATCCTGTTTAAAATATTAATGAACAAAGCAAACAAAAACATTCTAACTATTAATAGTTTTATAAAATAGAAATGGAAAAAAAAGGTAAGCAAGAAAAAAAAATGATTAAATGCAAAAGAAGAATGAGTTGATTAAAGTAAATTAGGAGTTAATAAGGGGTTAAACAGAGGAACATTTTATTTGTTAAAAAAAAATAATTTTTTTTTGTCAGGTTGCTTTTAACCACTTATCTTCAGATGAAGTTCATCCCTTTGATCTTTAAATTAATAAACAGAAAGATACAAAATGAAACAATGTTTCTTTTTATCTTTCTGTTTTAGCTGCTAAGCAATGTTGTTGATAAACTGTCAGGCTGCTTTTTTTTCTTTATATAGTTCCAATTGCCTAGACTTGTTTACACTTCAGCTGTCAGCAGGGGAACCCCGCCTACAGCTCCTTAAAGTGTAGCTCCACCCAAAAGGAGAAGTTCTACTTTGAACCTTTGTTCCCCGCTCCCCATTAAGGATCGGCACCTTTGGGGAGTGGGTACCCGAATTTGACAGGTACCCTCTCCCACTTCCGCTGTGATCGAAAGAGGGAGTTGTCCTTCTAACCTCCCTCCCCATAGTCTTCTGGGACACGAGACAGGTCCCAGAAGGATAAGGGGCCATTCACAATGCGCAGTGCTTCTCACGCATGAGCAGAGGGCATCCGGCTGTGAAGCCGTAAACTGTCACAGTCGGGTGCCCACACTGAAGATGCCGGCGCCAGGGAGAGAAGACGGCCGGTGAAACCAGCAGTTGTGAGGACACCGCTGGACTGAGGGACAGGTAAGTGTCTATTTTAAAAGTCAGCAGCTACAGTTTTTGTAGCTGCTGACTTTTTTTTTTTCCAGGTGGAACTCTGCTTTAACAACCAGTAACTGATGGCTGAAAGAACCAAGCCTGCAGGTATAATCAAGAAAATGCTTAGCAGCAGCGCAACCCTATTTTTAACCAATTGATTGATTTTCACTGGTGTATTCCTTTAAAAGTGAGATTTGCACTGGACTTCCTTGGATATTGGACGCTGTTTCAAAAGGTTTTCTTTTCAAAATGTTTATATTCAACATGGTTTTTTATGATCTTACTTTTTATGTTTTGTGTCCTACACTTTTATATGTGCTGCTGCTTCATTCTTAAGCACTATTTGACCTTTCTGCACAGTGATTTGTTTTAGAACGTCAACATGAGTCTACAACACATTAGTCACAGCACAGACATTAACTTTGAAGGCAGGGACGGACTGACCATTTGGAAATTCGGGCACTTCCCTAGGGCCCGGGGTCAGTAGGGGGCCCCATGAGATACCCCTGGTACCTTTTTCATAGGCTTTTTTGAGTTTGGGCAAGGACACAGGGGCCCCATGATCCCCTACTGCCCGGGGGCCCTATGAGTTGTCAGTCTGCCCGTTTGAAGGGGATGCTGGAAAACCCTCTATAAGGGTACCAGGCTCCTCTTAGCAGTAACAAGTCTTGTTGCTCTCCAAATGGCAGTCTGGATGGCAGGAAAGAATCTAAAGCAGGGTAGCATGCATATACCAGAGCAAAAATAACAAGAAATTAACATTTTGGCATTGCTCTGTCAGTAGAAGCCTCAGGAAGCAGCTGAATATTGCCAAGTGTTTCACCTTACTCACCTGCTGGCTTATTTCCATTCATCCTGCCAATGCTGTCTGTGCCTGTTTACATGCTTTTGCAGTTTGCTTTCACTGTGTAATGACAGTTGTGTAGACGTACTGTTTATCCAAGACTTTCACAGTAATGATAGGACACACATTGCGCTACATTAATTGTTGACAGGTTGCTTGTAAGGTCCAGTTTACACCAGGAACACGTTCCTGTGCGATTCACATGCAGTTCAATGTGGTGTGATTCGAGCCCATTCATTTTGAATGCACTGAATTGCACTGGAACAAAGCAAACATAGTGCTTGCACGATTTTAGAAAATGCAGAACACATAGATCACATGGTACTTTGGGGTGTCAATATCTTAACAATCCCAACCCGCTGCAGATCACAACTACAATGTGTATAAACGTGATGAGGGAAAATAGCCACTGTTAAATGTATATAATTATTTGTTCACCTAGAGTTCAACGTAAGAGTGCATTTACACTTCCAAACTGTGGCAGCACATGTATGTTAATGTGCATTGCATAAGGGCAGTTAATTCATTTGAACGGTCTACCTATGCACTAAAAAATGTGCACATAGCATTTCTGGCGGCACGCTGCCCTACAAGTCTTTCGGCAAAGTGTGTTGCGGTCTTTCAGACTGATCGACACATCACACCAAAGTACGCTGCGGCAATGCAAGCATTACCAGGGTGCAATAGTGTGAATGGGCCCTATCATAGGGTTTCAATTCAAGAACTGCACACCTTGTTTTGATACAGTCTAGTGTTTATTGTAAGTTATGGAAGGTACACTTGAATTTCAAAAAGTTAAAACATATAAAAGTGGTTAAGGGAAAAAGAACAATGTATGAACATTTGATAAATGCATGAGAATGTCATATACCATATAGCAGATTACAATGGTAATGTTAATGCCAACAGAGTATTATGGAAGTTAGTTGAATAAAAAAAAATACTATGCTTTTTACAAACATCTGCTGCTTAAAATACCGGAAAGGAAGTCTGTACTGTAAATAAAGAGTAGTCACAGAATGTGGAGAGATTATAGTTTTTTCAGTTTTTTTTGTTCTAGAACTTACTGCAGAATGTAATGGGGAAAAAAAGAAAAGATGTAAATGGTGCAATTACTTCACAGAAAATCACAGAATCACCTAACCAAACCGTTATCGATAAGAACATAAAAGGTACAGATTATAACTCTCCTATATGAAATAATTTACACACATGTCACCTATACCACCATCTAAAATAATCACTAAATACATTTCTTTGAAATAATAAACAAGCAATAATATTTCTGCATGATGAGTTATCAAAAACAAACAAAACCAAAAAAAAGCAAAAAAATAGTGTTTTGTTTCAGTTTGTCCCTTCAATTTTTTTTTATATTCTCTGGATGAAACTGTTCAGAAACTTTTTTCATTTTTTGTAAATTTTTTTTTTTTCCTGTAATGTAGTGCAACCAACCAAGCTTATCTGGTAGTACAACTGCAAAAAAAAAGAAAACACTTGTCAAAAATACTTGTACAATGGAATGGGGGAAGAATTTAAGTCACAAAACCAATTTTAATTTTCCAATCATTCAAGAAAAGTACTCCACAGTTTTCAGGCTGAACAAGCTTGTGCCGTGTTTTCACAAAGTAAATGTTTATGCAGAGGATGTTACACTCTGTTTGTAAACTGCGTGGTAAGCGTTTCTCAGTAAGACGTATGGGAAGCAAGATTCCAGCAAGTCCATGGTCAGGAATGGTGACTCTTGCACAATCTGTGTGAGCATAAACAAATGTGTTTATTACATCAATCAATTCATTATACAAAAAAGCTGGACATTTGAACAATCACTAATTTAGACAGTTATGCTTGAAAAAGTTGGGTGAATGAATTTTCTAAGCATTCCAGTTGTATTTATTTTATTAACTCTTAGCATGCATCCTATACAGAGTTCTTTTTCAAAGCAAACCACTCCTTCAGTTATTTGTAGCAGCTTTCAAACAAACTGACCTTTGAGGCCTCATGCATACAGGACAGTTTTCTCCTCCCCTGGACGCCTTTGCTTCTGGCAGGAAAATAGCAGCTTAAAAGTGGTTCTAAAGGCTCAAGGGTTTTTTTTAACCTTCACTGTATGTATGAAGGTAAAAAACCTGTGTGTAGCAGCCTCCCCAACACTTCCCTGAGCCCCCCTCTTGATCCAGCAATATCCATGAGAGCCTCGGTTCTCGGGGGACTCTCACTCCTGAATGGTTCACAGCCAGTGAGCCAATCAGGAGAGGGAGGGGTGGAGCCGAGACATGGCTCTATGCGTGAATGGACACGCAGAGCTGTGGCTCGGGAGCACGCCTGTTCAGGTGCACCCATAGCAAGCCGCTTGCTGTGGGGCACCCGATAGGAGGGAGGGGCCAGGAATGCTAGCAGGGGACCCGTGAAGAGGAGGATCCGGGCTGCTCTGTGCAAAAGCATTACACAGAGAAGGTAAGTATGACACGCTTGTTACTTAAAAAAAAAAAAAAAAAAAAAAAAAAAAAAAAAACAGACAAAAAAGACTTCAGTATCTCTTTTAAAACTACGCCTAAAGCCATATTTTGCACAGGCACCTAGGCGCATCAAGCACTTGGGCTCTCATTGATTCCACTGGCCAGAATATGAATTTATTCTGGCTATTAAGTTATGTATAATAAAATGAAATGACAGGGAAAAAAAGTACTGAACACACTAACTGAAATTTATTTCAAGTGTTACTAAACCCACAACAGTAAAAACAGTCTGTATATGCAGTAAAGCATGCCTGATATACTCATTGTAGAGAGGTTAATCCTCTGCATGGTGTATAAAATGCTTTTTGATCCTGACTTCTCTGATGTTCTCCTTCTTCCAGTGCCCCCCTCGTATATCCTGATAAGACATATTGTGTGGAGACACTCTGCACATGCTCAGTTTGGTGTGTATTGCTAGAGGGTTTTTTTTCCTCTTGGGAGAGTGCAGGTGATCAGCACAAGGTCAATCAGCACTGTGCAGACAGAGGTCAAAGGTTCTGCAGCCTCCTAGAGCAGAAAGAAAACTCTTACAAGATTTAACCAGTGCTCTGCTGAACACAGATAGTCACAAGACTGCTCCAACTGCTGATGAGAAAAGCTATTTAGCAGTTTTATATACTAAAATAATTGCATTTCCATGTTCTCTGTACTGTGGGGAGACCAGACAGTGAATGAGTCCTGGGTTTAGTAACACTTTAATACTTCGTACAAAACTCTTTGTTGGTAAAGACAGCTTCAAGATGCCTCCTGTATGGAGAAACTAGTCGCATACATTTCTCAGGTGTGACTTTGGCTCATTCTTCCACACAAAAAGAGTCTTCAAATCTTGAAGGCTCCGTGGGTCTCTTCTATGAATTCTAATCTTTAGTTTTTTTCCATAGATTCTCCATTGGACTCAACTCAGGTGATTGGCTGGGCCATTCTAGCAGCTTTATTTTCTCTCTTTGAAACCAATTGAGAATTTCCTTGGCTGTGTGTTTGGGATCATTGTCTTGCTGAAATGTCCACCCTCGTTTCATCTTCATCATCCTGGTAGATGGCAGCAGATTTTTATCAAGAATGTTTTGGTATATTTTTCTATTCATCCTTCTATCAATGATATTAAGTTGTCCAGTACTGTATGCTAAAAAAACAAGCCCACACCATGATGTTCCCACCTCCAAACTTCACTGTTGGTATGGAGTTTTTGGGGTGATGTACAGTGCTATTTGACCTCCAAACATGGTGTGTATTATGGCATCCAAATAGTTGAATTTTGGTCTCATTTGACCAGACATATATTTATATATATAAAACTTTAAATGAGCTTTTACATGCTTTTTTCTTTAGCAATGGAGTCGTGTGGTGAGCGTGCATACAGGCCAGGGCGGTTGAGTGTATTACTTCTTCTTTTCTTTGAAAAAATTGTACCTGCCAATTCCAAGTCTTTCTGAAGCTCTCCACAAGTGGTCCTTGGCTCTTGTACAACTCTTCTGATAATTCTTTTCACTCCTCTGCCAGAAATCGTGCGAGGAGCACCTGGTCGTGGCCAGTTTATGGTGAAATGATGTTCTTTCCACTTCCGAATTATGGCCCTAACAGTGCTCACTGGAACATTCGGAAGTTTAGAAATCCTTCTGTAACCAATACCAGCAGTATGTTTGTGAAGGTGTTGAGAGGGCCCTTTACTTTTACCCATCATGAAATGTTTCTTCTGTGACACCTTGGTAATGAGACATTGGTAAGGTATTAATTTGTACTGACAAGGGGCAGAACTGCTTTCTAATTACTGATAGATTTCAGCTGGTGTCTTGGATTTCCATGCCTTTTTGCACCTTCCTTTCTTCATGTGTTCAATACTTTTTCTGTGTCATTTCATTTTATTACACAACTTAATTTCTGAACTTATTTATTTTGGTTTCTTTGTATGTATCGATTGCATTGGTTGTTACCGATATGTGATTTAAATTTCATGTCAATAGCACCTTTAGAAATACATTTACTGAGAAAAATGGTGACGTGTTCAATACTTATTTTACCTGCTGTAGCTACCCAAGTCTTCTGGTAGCCCAAAACCCAGAGCAATGTTTTACGCAAATGCCAATTTTTGTAGAGAAATTCAAACACAGCCATTCTCCATTCTACTCCCCATGCCTCAGTATTGGTCACTGATTAAAGGTGAACTATAGGTAGTACTCTTACCAAAAACCTCCAGCACTAAGCTCCAGGTGTTCAAAGTATCTGAAAATTTTCTGTTTGAAGGTGCAATCAAGTGCTGAACTGATACTGGGCTCCCTCTTAAGTTGTATGAGATTTTAAGAAATTACTTTGCTGAACTTACCATATCTAGCAGCAAATAAACAGATTCTCTGTTTCTTGTTGTTGTTTTATCAGTCTCTTGGCCAATTTTCAGGAGGCTAGAAGATGCCAGCTGTAAGGAAAAAAAGCACAGTGCACAGAAACATAAGTACACAGTTTCACTAAACAGGTAAAAGACGATACACATACAAATGAATGAATATGGGCTCCTTTTATCTTGAATCCCCTAAAAGTCACTAGACAACATTTTCTTTACACATCGGCAAGACAGCTGAAAAGCCTATATATACACTATATTGCCAAAAGTAACTGTTGGAAGAGAAGGCCTGGCTCTAATTCATCCCAAAGGTGTTCTATCAGATTGAGGTCAGGATTCTGTGCAGGCCAGTCAAGTTCCTCCACCCCAAACTCACTCATGTCTTTATGGACCTTGGTTTGTGCACTGGTGTGCAGTCATGTGGAACAGGAAGGGGCCACCCCCAAACTGTTCCCACAAAGTTGGGAGCATGAAATTGTCCAAAATGTCCTGGTATGCTGCTGATAACTTAGGAGTTCCCTTCATTGGAACTAAGGGGTCAAGCCCAAACCCTGAGAAAAAAAAACAACCCCACACCATAATGCCCCTCCACCAAACTTTACACTTGGCAGTCAGGCAAGTACCGTTCTCCTGGCAACTGCCAAACCCAAACATGTCCAATGGATTGCCAGACGGAGAAGCGTGATTCATCACTCCAGAGAACACATCTCCACTGCTCTATAGTCCAGTGGTGGCGTGCTTTACACCACTGCAGCCGACGCTTTGCATTGCCCTTGGTGATGTAAGGCTTGGATGCAGCTGCTCGGCCATGGAAACCCATTCCATTAAGCTCTCTACACATTGCAATGGTAATCTTAAGGACACATGAAGTTTGTAGGTCTTTAGCTATTGATTCTGCAGGCAGTTGGCAACTTCTGCGCACTTCAGCATGCACTGACCCCCGTTCTGTCATTTTACGTGGCCTACCACTTTGTGGCCGAGTTGCTGCTGTTCCTAGTTTCTTCCACTTTGTTATAATACCACCAACAGTTGACCGTGGAATATTTAGTAGCAAGGAAATTTCACAGATGGACTTACTGCACAGGAAGCAACCTATCATGGTACTACGCCTGAATTCACTGAGCTCCTGAGAGCGACCCATTCTTTCACAAATGTTTGTAGAAGCAGTTTGCATGCCTAGGTGCTTGATTTTATACACCTGTGACCATGGAGGTAATAGGAACACCTGAATCCAATGAATTGGAGGGGTGTCCCAATACTTTTGGCAATATAGTGTATATGTCTACTTTTGTGTGGATTTTGAATATTCATTTTCTAGAGTGCTTTGTTTACATTGTGATGCTTTTGCAAGGCATTTTACATTTGTTTTCTATATGTGTATTTCAAAGGGAGGGTACTACAAATGCACATTCATTGCATTTATGCTGCATCTTACAACATTACCATTCATCCCTGATACACTTGCTGTAAACTGCAACCTGCAGTTTTTAATGTGAACTCATGTGATGGACTACATAGCTAACAGCTGTAGGTGACAGCTAACAATTAGTTATTACTGTGTACTGTGGATATAGTTTTTTTCCCTCCAGTGTTGCCTAAAACCTTTCCAAATTGGCTATTCCAATACACACTGACTATATCTGCGTAGCTATTAACACGCCCCAAATGATCATATGCCTAGACCCACTGTTAAGTTGCTCAGGCAAGGAGTACTGTATTGTGAAATAGTAGCAAGGTGTGTGCCCAATATACACTATTAATAAGTGGAGACACTTCGGGAACACACAAGGCAGTGTTAAGCAGGAAACAAGTAAAAAGGTACAGCTTATGCCAAGAACGTATACCATCAGTTACTTCCTAAAGTTGTTAGTTTAAGATCAGATCTGTATTTATGCTGCAGATTTAAAGCACAGGTGTGAATAGATCCCAAGTTTTCTGGACAACAATAAAAAAAACACTTCAATACTACTATATTAACTAACATAAATAAATAGTAAGGATGAATAAAGACACAGGTCCATTCAGTTAAGTATTGTGGTCACTGTGTTTTTTATTTTTAAGATAAATACTCCCTGCTGAAACCACTAACTGTGGGAGTTCCAAATCTTTATGGCTTTGACTGTAAAAAGACCCCTTATGTATTTTGAAACAAAACAGATTTTTGTTCAGCCTCATGTTATCACTGTGCATCTTCTTCAGAGTCCTTAATTTGAATAGTTTTTTTTCCCCTCCATACTGTAGGCACTATTAATACATTTGTATGTTTCATAACCCTTCTTAAGCATTAACTTTCTAAAAGAAAAGTTAAAATTCTGCAGTTTTTGCTCACAACTTAGATCCTCCATCAGTCTTACTAATTGTGTTTCCGTTCTTTGAACTCTCTCTAGCTCAAGGGCATCTTTTCTGAAGATTGTTACTAAAACTGAACTCAAGATAAGGCCAAACCAGAGTTTTGTAAAGTGGTAAATTATGGTTTTGTCTCCTGAGTAAATACCCCTTTTAATGCATGATAGTATTCTGTTTGCTTTGCTAGCTGCAACCTAGAATTGCATGCTATTGCAAGTCTATGGTGTACCCCCAGATCTTTTTTTAATCCCTGATTTCCGCAAAGAAACACAATGAGTAGATTGCATGCACATTTTTAACTGCTAAGTAGATAACGTTTCATTTTTCAACACTGAACCTCTTCTGCCATGTAGCTGTCTACCCCTCAATTTTAACAAGATACTTGATTATATGTCTTGCAAAGTTTTGCCATACATAATTTGCTACCAGTAAACACTTAGTTTCTTATTTCCACTTTGATATAATTTATAAACAATTTGAAAGTAATTGGTCCCAGGATCAAACCCTGGGGCACTCTGGCTTCCTTTCTGAATGGTCTAAAAGTATACATTCCTCACCTTCTCTGGCGTGTTCAACATTTTGTATAAACACTGATAGGAGACTTTTGTCCCTTCCTACGTGTGGAAATGGGAGGCTGACCTGCAGATGTCCTTTTCGGAAGAAGTGAACCGGATCATTCAATTAGCTCCCAAATCCTTGATAGCTAATCGTAAATTTTACCTCTCAGTCTCCAGTTTCACTGCATATCATCTGGTAATGTCCTTTGCTGAATCAGTTCTGGAAGGGAATGAGGAACTTAAGTCTCACAGCTGACTTCCGTTGATTTGGGAACAGACCCATTGACCTACCTCCATCTCAACTCAGTACCATTATGTCGCTATAGACGCTCCCTGACAGTTCATCTTCTGAATGCGGCACGAGCATGCATTCCAGATCTGTGGAAGCAAACCTCTGCCCCGACTATGGGTCACTAGTTTGTGAAGTTGAATGAAATGAATTCAATGGAAAGCATAACTGCCTCCCTTAACAATAAGGAAGATGTATTTCGGGAGACTTGATGGCCTTGGATGATGTATATTTGCTCGGCGCAATATATGGATGTGGTGCCTGCTTCATCTGAGCGTGACTGAGTCCTCTTCAACATTACCTTCTGTAGGTTAGACGTTGAACCCTATGACTGGTCTTTGGGGGGAGTAGAAGGAGCCTTGTGCTACTCTGCCCCTCCACCCCCCAGATCTGCCTTCAGTACCCTCAGTGAGTCCCCACTCCGTCCTCTCTCTCTCGTCTCTCCCGCACTCCCCCCCCCATTCTTTTTTCTTTTTTATCCCCTTCACAGAGAGCTAAGAAGATACATTTTTCCACGTAATTTTTACATTTTTTTCTTTGGTCCCATGATGGACCAATTCTGTGTTTTCAAATATAAAAGTTTGTTAGAAAAGAAGAAAAAAAAAAAAAAAAAAAAAAAAGGAAGAAAAGCCATCCGAACATCAATCCTCTTGATGTGTCCCTGTAACCAGTTTTCTATCCATGTACAAAGAAGTTCTTCAATATCAATGGACCTTAACTTGTACATTACAAAGAAGTTCTTATATATCAATGGAACTTAACTTGTACCTTAAGAATTTGCAGGGAACTTTATCAAATTCTTTAGCAAAATACAAATAAACTGTGTCCACTGGCCTGCCTTCTATCTAAATTACTACTCACTTTTCTCATAGAATGTTGGTAGGTTGGTCTGACAAGAATCGTCCTTCATATATCGACACTGGTGGTTACTTATGATATGATTTTAGCGCGCAAATTCTTGAATACGGTCCTTTACTTTTCATTCCCATACCTTGCATAATGTTGATGAAAAGCTAACTTGTCTGTAGTACATGGTAAACATCTCAAACCTTTTTTTGGGATTTCAGTAACACATATCCTTTTTGCCAATTGGTTGGTACCATTCTAGATGTTAAGGTCTTCTTAAAAATTAGACCAATGGACTAGCTATAACTTGGCTAAGCTACTTGAGGACTCATGGGTGTAAGCCATCTGGTCCTGGAGATCTACTTGCATTAGGTTTTTCTAGTGTGTTTTGAACCTGTATGTAAAGTCAGTCACAAAAAGTCCACTGTCAGTGTTACTGTTTGGGAACAGACCACTTTAGATTTACAGGTCTGGTGCTAGAATTACTGCCCATGATCTGACGTTCGCGGTGATACCTCTAAGATCATCGCTTTTTTTTTTTCTGTATGTGTGGGACCAATGCTTGTGTTCGCCTTTGCTTGCAAGCGCAGTGGGACAGGGGCACTTTTCTTTTTCATTTTTTGAAAGACAATGTAAAAAAAAAACAAAAAATATATATTACTTTTATTTCTGTCACAAGGAATGTAAACATCCCTTGTGACAGCAATAGGCATGTGACAGGTACTCTTTAAGGAGGGATCTGGGGTCAATAAGACCAGTAATTTCCTCTCTTATTCACTTGAAGCCCCAACCATAAGGACTCTGCAGCATGACAAGTCTCATTAATGTCACTGTTCACTTTCACAGTCAAATAGTTCTTGACACACAGGCATACCCATTTCCCTCCTAACTTGCCCAGTGAGCTGTCTAACCAGGTTCCTGATACTCCACAAAGTCAAAATTCTCTAAGTAACAGACGTTCTAGATCTTCCATCTTGTTAGCCAGACTTCTAGTATTAGTTCACATACTTTCTTTTTTTTTTTTTTTAAACTTGTGTTAGCCATTTTATTACACTTTTGAAATGTTGTTAGCATCAGACAGACTTACAGCATTGGTCTTGGATAATGTACTTTCCCTGCTAATTAGGTTGGAAGCTATCCATCAAAACCAAGTTATAAAGCAAACCAAAACTTGTCTTTTTTGAGGTCACGTTGAATACAAAGGCAATAACATTCCAAAAAATGAGCAAATTACAAGGTGCAGAATGAGCAGGCTGAGCACACAAGGTGCACAAATAATCAGATTAACCAATTCACTTTGAGGAGGTTTAAAGTTATCTTCCCAAAAAATGCAAAAAAAGTGAAAAAATGCCAGTTTTACAGTAAGTCATGTATTAATCGGTTTTTCCCTAGTAGTGCCTTTCTTGGGGTAATTTTGTTGTTTTAGTGTTGCTTGGCCACTGCATACACTTGGAAATATGAAAAAATAAGTGCAGCGCTGATTGTACAAAATAAATATAAACCTAGCCAGAATATCAAAAAAATGTATGCATGTAAGTATGCACTATTTATTTGATGATTTTTAGGCTAAGTTATATTTATTTTGCACAATTAGTGCTACGCATATTTGTGATATTTGTTGGAGATTTGGTATCACAAAGCTTATTTATGGTTACACCTAAGCGCAGAGTTTACTCCCATATACACATCCCTCACTGTCACTGTTGTACATATGGAATATTTACCAAAAAGTTACACCTTTGACATCCTCCAGTAAAATGTGTAAAACAGAGGAGGAAATAAAATTTACAATATACCACTTACTGAATATCTAGGGGTTTCTAGTGTAATAGCTGGAGGGCATTTAATAGGCTTGAGGGTGGCATGAGCTACAGCTCAAGATTTCCTCAACTATATACCTGCATCTTATATACCAAAACCTACACTTTAGATTAATTAGGATAAACAGGAGATTGGATTTTCATGGAAATATTTGCAAGATATTAGTTAAGAATTAGTATGTATTAAACAACCTACAAGTGCTTTTTAAAACATTCTACCAAATAAAAGTTCAGTAAACTGACACACATCAAAATGGCAAACTGGTCTGGATACACAGGATTCAATAACCCCTGGACATGAAGGGGTTAATCAGAATGTTTTCTGAACAAGTGCTCAAAGTTAAATTGCATATCTAAAGTACGTCCCTACACAGTGGCATATTACATCTCTCTACAACATAGCAGAACTGGGATATATTTTACATCTACAAAATCTACACTGCACATACATCTTAAAAAAAAATATGAACCCAGCAAACCAATATTTAATAGAAACTATTTGTTTCCAGATTTGCACATTTATTCATTTGGAGTGGCAGAAAGCCCGATGGCAGCCCTCACTTAGACGAGCATAATATATTAAGCTCTGACTGAATGGAGAAAAATACCAAATGACTGCATGACAAGTTATACGTACAGCCAAGAACTCCTTAAGACGATCCTCAATGCTTCCTTTGTGAATGGTGAATAAAGCTGCAGCAATCTGGTTGATGGCCTTTGCCAGGCAGTGAATATTATTGCAGTGACCTAAACCAAAAAAAAAATAAAATGGGTTAGTAAATACACAGTTGCTATGTACAACAAAGCATCTTTCTGGCTTATCAAACAACATTACAATACCTTCTATGGCCGGGCTGTACTGAGACATCACGTTGCTAGCCAAGGTTGGCAAAGACACGGCCACAAAGACCATAAGAAGGCAGGCAATTTTGTACTCTTCCTCTGGACTGATTGTTTCTGCAATGAAAAACAAAATTGCTTTAGCTATACACAACTTAAGTCAGGAATATGAATTTAAATTACCAATTTTATACTAGATGGCAGCTTTAAAGGATCTGTGCCAGTCCCCTCTGAGAGTACATACAGGCTGCTGCAATCCCTGCGTAGTTTTATGTGGTTCTGCATAAGAAAATTAACTATGATCCCAAATGAGCTGTGGCACCAGGGTTTTTTTTTTGTTCAGCTAGCTCTTAATTACCTAACAGAACCTAAAAAAGAAAAACAAAAGGACATATCAATGGACGTGATGTATTTGACAAATTCTGGGAAATTGCATGCTGATGGCCAAATCGTGTCCTGCAATTCAACTCAAAAAGGCTACTTTCAAAGATAGTCAACTGCTTCCCCACCGCCCTATAGTAGAACTACTATTACAGGGCTATGCAAAATCACAAATATATACATGATTTGCATTTCCGGGTAGGAGCATGTGCGCCGCCCAACCCATGCCACCATTGGTGGCTACAGATGTCAATCACCGTGTCCCGGCAATCGCCGAGTAACACTGACAGGGGAGACACCTGTGTGCAAACACAGGTCTCTCTCCTGCTAGCAAGGACATGCTGCTGTGCATTTCTCTGCACAGCAGTGAAATACACAGCAGCATGTTTCCCTAGTAAAACACACACAGCACATTATGTAAAAAGCACAGAGTTAACCCTTTTATCGCCCCAAATATTAACACCTTCCTGCCCAGTGTCATTAGTACAGGGTCAGTGCTTTTTATTAGCACTGATTACTGTATTAGTGTCATTGGGATGTCAGTAGCAGTCAGTTTCCACCCAGTGTCAAAATGCCCACCACAGTCCCGCTATAAGTCGCTGATCGCCACCATTACTAGTATAAAAAAAATAAAAACTACAGTATATATACCGCCATTTGTAGACACTAACTTTCGCGTAAACCAATTAATTTAATGTATTGGGATTTTTTTTTATTTAGCAGAATACATTTTGGCCTAAATTTATGATGAAACTTGATTTTTTAAATTTTTTTTACTGGATATGTTTTATAGCAAAAAGTCAAAAATATATATTTTTTTTCAAAATTGTCATTTGTTTATAGCACAAAATATAAAAACCGCACATGTCAAATACCAATGAAAGAAAGCTCTATTTGTGGGGAAAAAAAAATACATAAATTTAATTTGCGTACAGCGTTGCATGACCGCACAATTGTCAGTTAAAGTAACAGCGCGTGTTGCAAAAAAATGGCCAGGAGGGGGGGGGGGGGGTAAATCCTTCAGAAGGCAAGTGATTAAAGTGGATGTCTAATTAAACAGTCATATGGACATTAGAAATATGTTCACCATTTTTCCAGATAAATAATTTATATTGCATCTCAACTGCTTTGTTTTATGACCTGCGCAAATGTACTAACCAATACTATTCAGAGTTCTAAAGTTACTGGTTCAACAGCTGGCTTCAAAAAGCTTTATTACAGGTTTCCTAAATCTTTATAAAAAGTTAAAATGTATACACGGTATGTATTTATCAACCAGATAGATAGTCTGGACCGCTGATGCTTTCAGTACAAGTCAACATCACTTAGTTTTACCACTGCACTTCTAATAAACTCATCTGTGGCTTTCTAATAAAACTGTGGTTTCCGCCACAAGAAAATCCAAGTGAGATAAACAAATTGTGGACTAAAACTAATAAAATGAGCAAACCGCAAAACTACCCCCAATGTATTTCACAAGCAAAACCACACATTTGAGGAGTAAATATTTAAAATACAGTTCATAAGATTGTGTAAAGAGCAAGTAAAAATGTTGAATATTGTCATCACAAACAGAAATCATTACACCAGTTGCTTTAGTATCGGTTACTATTTTAGGTGCCTAACAAAGTATTTTAAAGTAGGAAGCGGATCTGCATAAAAAAATACTTCCCAATCGACTGCAGTCACTGAAGGGGTGTGGCTTAGCAAAAGTGTGTGTGGTCTGGTATAACTACGGCTATGCTGGTTGATGTGGCTTCTTAGGCTAAAGCTGAACTTTATGGGAAAAATATAAAATGGGCAAACAGACAGGATTTTTAATGCAGAAGAGACAGACTTTGTCTCTTCTGCATTAAAGTTAGTTACTTGCCTGTCCGCCCCTGTACAGTGAGCTTCGAGGGGAAAAAAAAAAAAAAGATTCTGGCAGTAGTAACTTAACCAGTTTGGCTCCAGAGCAATTTGTTTTTATTTTTCGCATACATGTAAAAATCTTAATTTCTTGCAATAAAATTACTTAAACCCACAGAATATTATATATTTTCTGAAAGCAGAGTCCCTGTATAATGAAAAGGTGATAGTTGCAATTTTTTATGTCACATGATATTTGTGCAACTGTTTATGAAAACGCAAATTTTCAGGGAAAAAAATTAAAATTAATGTTCGTGCAAACACAATATAGAATACCCATATTTGGTTAAAATATAAAAGACGAGGTTGTATTGAGAAAATAAAATAGCAAACATTCTATGTCTTAAAATTGCATGCACCCGAGATATCGCCAAAAACTATGGTGTCCAAAGATCACTATAGGTGACGCTTTAAAAACCTTTACAGCTCATCAGTTTAGAGTTAACTAGAAGCTCTTGTGCTAGAATTTTTGTTCTCACTCTGATGTTCGCAGCAATATGTCGGTTTACAAAACACACTCGGCTTGCAGGTGTGCTGGGTAACAAGGGTTACAGCATATAAAAAAAAATAATTATATTTTATTATAATTTTAAACTTTTTTCTTTTATTTATTTATACTTGACTGCTATCTCAAAGGGGTTAATAAACCTCTATGTGATAGCATTAGGCAAATGACTCTTTATGAAGACATTTTGGGTCTAATAAACCCCAATGTCTCCCCTGCCTTTCACACCATCTAACCAAGCACAGATCAGATTGGTTAGATGTGTGCCCTGGCTGTACTGGCCCGGAAATGGTGCATCTGAAACCAGAAGTGACATCACCTCTGGTTTTCATTGTTTGCATGCTTTGACTCAGTCAAACAGCGCTCTCCCTCCCTGATTGGCAGCTATGTAGCTAAACAAAAAACAACACAAGCTTGTGATTAAAGGTTCACACTTTGGGCGTACATAGTATGTACAAAAAGCAAACTGGTAAAAAAATATATTAAACCCAAAACCAAAAATGTATTATATTGCAGCTTACCAATCAGATATGGTGGCTGTGTCAGTTTTCTTTCCCTGTTTTCACCTGTTGATTGGATCATTAACACACCTCCTTTATTAGAGAGACATCACTTTGAAGGAATGAGCAAAGGACACAGCATTGTCAGTTTTGGAGGGGGGGGGACTGCGGATTGAGTGTTAATGGTAGTCGCCGATTTGAATACAAATAACAAAAGAGTGGGAAATTTGACTGGAGAGTGAAAAACAGTTTTGCTTTCGACTGCTGGTGCTTGTAGTGTTTTTACCCCCACTTTGGGGTCTTGTTAGCAGCCTTTACTTTTTTAAAATCACCTTTTCTGTCACTTTTTAAATAGCATTTTTTTTTCCCTTTCCTTCCTTCAGTCTGATAACTAAGGGGAGGGGTTAATTGGCCACAAGTGCTACAGGTGCTATTTAACTTTCTGTAGAGCTCATTCTTGAGCTTGCCTGTATTTTGCTTGCTGGACATTTGATAAAATGGAGTTAAAAACAGGAGTCTTCTAACCTGTGACAACAGATACTCCCTGTTAGTAATAATAATATTGTAACTGGGATAATGAGTGCTAGCAGGGTTGAAGGTTTTAGGCAGTGCACAATGTGCCGCATGTATGCAACAATAAAGCAACAGCTCCAGGATGGAAACCGCTTTGACAGATGTGAGCAGGTTACCCTTCTGAAAGCTCGCATTAAAGATCTGGAAAATCAAGTTGCAATACTGGGCAGAACCGACAACCTTTCAAGGGGTCTTTTGCTCTCTGAGCAGGTAGATAATGGGATTTATGTGAAGGGGCTAGTTAGGATTATCAGGTAGGAAGATGGGTTACTGTAGTGAGAGGGATTGGTAGGGGCTCACAGAAAAGGAAGGACTGCCCTGGGTTTGAGCACCCAAACAGATTTGCCAAGTTGGATGAAGATGTGGAGGCGGAAAGCTCAGGGGTGGCAGCCCTGGATGTCACTGCTCGGGTGAGCAGACCATCTTGGAGGGGTGGTGGGGGTAGTGTAAGAAGGCCTAGATGGTTGTTGGTAATAGGGGATTCTATAATCAGAAGGACTGATAGAATAATTTGTCGCTAGGATCGCCTCAACCGAATGGTTTGGTATGTGGTGGACCAGGTTGATAAATTGCTGGAAGGGGCTGGGCATGAGCCAGCTGCCTCGATCTATATTGGAACCAATTACAGAATATAAGGAAGGTGGAGGCTCCTTAAGAATCAATTCAAAGAACTAGGCTGCAAGTTAAAGGGAAGGATCTCTAAGGTGATATTCTTTCTAGATTCTTTCTAGGGTTTCTAGAGCACTGGGCTGACTTTTCATTGAGGTGCAAACTATATGTTCGAGATGATTTATACCTAATTAGAAAGAGGTCTACTGTGCTGGGGAGAGGTTTATGGGAAGGCTGGAGGAGTATTTAAACTAGGATCGAGAGGGGGGGGGGGGGGGGGGGAATAAAGATAATAATGGGGCAGACAAATCAGACAGGGATCAGTTCTCATTGGTGGGTGGAATGGGGAAAGATGGGGGGAGGTCTATGGCAGGTGATAAGAAAGTACCCTTGTTACAAACAACCAGTGGAATTGCTACTATTTGTACGCAAATAAAAAATATGCAAAATAAGTGTGCAAAAGGTGTCGATGAAATAAAGTGTTTGTTCATCAATGCTAGAAGTCTGCAAGCAAAATAGGTAGGTTGGAATTTTTGGTGCATGAAGAGAACTAGGCTTTAATTGGTATTGCTGAAACTTGGCTTCATTCTTCATATGGCTGGGAAAATTAATATTCCTGGCTATGTTCTCTTTCAGAGAGACAGGGTAAAAAGGAAAGGTGGTAGTGTCTGTCTCTATGTGATAAGTGATCTGAAAGCAAGTGTGAAAGAGGACCTAGTTGATGGAGAGTGTGATGATGAGGCTGAAGCATTATGGGTGGAACTGCACATGGGGGGTGCGCACTACAAAGGTAATCATTGGAGTTTGTTATAGGCCACCCAGTGTTAATGACTTAGCATCTTGCACAGATCGACAGGGCTGCAAGAGCTGGGACAGTGATAATAATGGGGGGATTTTAATTACCCGGAAATTGACTGTAGTAATGGCACTGCAGGAACAGGGCAAAAATGTATAAACCTACTACAGGACAATTTATGGTAGAGTTCATAGAGGCCCCAACTAAAAAGGATGCTCTGCTGGACCACAAACCATGCAAAGCTTATTACTAATGTCCATATAAAAAAACATCTGGGTAGCAGTGACCATAACATGATTTAATTTATTGTTAGCTGTAAACAACAATCACATACAGGAAAAATAAAAAACATTCAACTTTAAGAGAGCTAATTTTCCAAGGCTGAGAGCTGCTCTCCAAGACTTAGACATGGAGGGAATATTGCCATCGATTAACACAACACAGAAATGGGAGTTCTTCAAAAAGACTATATGTGAACACACTGCAAAATATAGACCCATGGGCAACAAGTTTAAAATGCTAAAAATAAAACCTATGTGGCTTATGGCCAAGTTAAAACAACTATAAATAATAAGAAAAGAGCTTTTATAAAATAAAAAAAAGAAGGAATGCCATCATCACTTAAACGTTACAAAGAATATAACAGAATATGTAAAAAGGAAATCGAGGCAACAAAAATTGAAAACAAACAACAGATTGCAAAAGATAGCAGGACAAACCCCCCAAAATTCTATTCTTCAAATATATTAATATTAAAAAGGTGAGGTCCGAGCATGTAGGCCCTTTAATAAATGTGCCTTCTATTTGTCCCCAGCCAACCAATCTGTATTATTTTGTAAACACCTTCTTCAGCTCTGTGTATGCAAAGGAGCAGGGGGGAACTCTTGTCCATAATGGGCATGGTATTGACACAGCCCCAGATGATCCACATTGGCTCACAATTGATATGATCCAGTAATATTTACACAGAATAAAAGGGGTCCTTAAAAGAAATGAACTCTGTCATTTCAAATGACTGGCATAGTACCTTGGATTGGAGTAAGGCCAATGTGGTGCCAATATTTAAAAAGGGATCAAAATCTTTACCAAGTAATTAGAGACCTGTTCGTTTAGCTTCTATAGTTGGGAAGATACTGGAGAGTTTAATAAAAGACCACATACAGTAGATGAGTTCTTGCTGGAAAAAAAATATTTTAAGCAACAGATAGCATGGATTCATGACAGAGAGAAGTTGTCAAACAAATCTGATTTTATGAAGAGGTGAGCAAAACCTTGGACAGGGGGTGGTGGTGGATGTGGTATACTTGGATTTTGCAAAAGCGTTTGACACAGTTCCCCACACACGGCTAATGTGTAATGTAAAGTCTACAGCCTTGGAAACATCTGTATGTAAATAGATAGAAAACTGGAAAAAGATCATATTCAGAGAGTAGTGGTTAATGATTCATACTCTGAATGGTCTAGAGTTATGTACCCCAAGGTTCAGTGTTGGGACCTTTACCTAAGAATATGCATGCATCATACATACTAGGAGGGAGAGCAACTGGGGGAATCAATAGCGGAGAACGATCTGGGAGTTCTGGTAGATCACATGCTTAATAATGGCATGCAATGCCAAGCTACGGTTTCTAAAGCTAGCAAAATCCTCTCTTGTATTAAAAGAGGTATAGACTCCAGAGACCGATATCATTTTACCCCTGTACAAATCATTAGTAACACCTCATCTGGAATACGCAGTTCAGTTTTGGGCACCAATTCACAAAAAGAATATTGGCGAACTGGAGAAAGTGCAGAAAAGGGCAACCAAACTGATAGGAGGCATGGAGGAGATCAGCTATGAGGAAAGATTAAAGGAATGGAATTTATTCAATTAAGGGGGGATATGACCAACATGTATAAACACATCAGTGGTTCATATAGTGAGCTCAGTGTAGAGTTTATTCACCTTGAGGTCATCACAGAGGACAAGGTTGCACTCTTTACGTTTGGAGGAAAAAGGGATTTCATTTCCAAATATGGAAAGGTTTCTTCACAGTAAGAGCTGTAAAATGTGGAATAGACTCCCTCAAGAGTTGGTGCTGGCCAGCTCAGTAGATTGCTTTATAAAGTTGATCCAAGGAATATCTAATTGCCTCATGGGGGATCAGGAAGGAATTTTTTCCCCTGCAGGAGCAAATTGGATCATGCTTTGTGGTTTTATTTTTGCATTCCTCAGAATCAAAGAGAAGAGCACAGAGGGATTTGGAAGCTCACCCATTTGACTTTTCACCCACCCTCCAAGGCCATGGCTTGCTGAGGGTTCAACAGACCTTTAAATCCCAGAAAAGAGACCATTTAGCCGAAAGAGGTGTCTATGTGGGAAACAGAGATGGCTGCTGAGCAGTGCTTGGAGGCAGAATGGTGCTCAGCAGACTAATGACTCTTGATGACCACCCCTTTTGCAGCACAAAGAAAACGGTCTTCCCCGCTATTGTATGCAGGGTTCAGGTACAGTAGCCTCTTGGCTATTAGGCCATAGAGATAAAATTGGATGAAGTCCATCAAACCCCAATTAAGGGTGTTAGGAACAAGCCAGGAATTGGGGGAACCAGACTCACTGCAGGAAATATTTTGAGACACAGAGGCACATTCATCACTTAAGGATGAAAACTAAAAACTGAGGCTTAATTAAGCTCAAAGTGATTCTGCCTTCTTTGGCCAGCATCCATACATCAGAGGATGGTAGTATAACCCAAGTAGTCATGTATATCTATGCCCTGTGATGTACGACTAAGAAAATTTACATTTTTTTTCCACTGAAAAGCTATTTTTTTTGTTTGTTTTTGTTTTATTTATAGCAAATTTTTCAAAGCTGAACTGCTAGGAGGCTTGTAAAGCATGTAAAGTAAGCGTGTAACTCACACACAGTCTCAGATTATTATTTACAATGAAAAAAACAAAACCTTTATGGTAAGAAAACTAAATAAAGCACCAAAAATATATGAAACATACCAGATTTTTGAGATGATAATGCCACGACTAAGGCTGGATCAATTTCACAGGGCAAGCCAGCTGCAGATGACAACTCATACACATTCATTGCAACCTTCAAAAAAAAAACAACAAAAAAAAAACCAGAAGAAGTTTTATATAGTTATTATTCCAGGCAGCCTATATCCAATTGTGTGGCAATGGCTTTTCTTTACAGCATGTATAAAAAAAAAAAAAATATTAGCAAGCTTTCACAAACAACTGTGCATGCAAGTAAATAAACTGTCTCATTGTTTGCACTGTGCAAGGATATATTGTCCTACATATGTTAAAGAGGAGCTTCAATCTGGTTTTCAAAAATGCAAAGTCAGCACCTTCAAATACTGTACCTATTGTCTTTTAAAATAGAAAACATACAGTACTTGCTGGACCATGGAGTCCAGCTCTGTCTTTCCCGTGGCAGATTCTTATTAGGGCTGCGCCACCAGATTTGGGAGGCAGCTGCGAATTTCTGATGATTCACAGCCAACCTCCCATCTCGTGATGCAGGAAGACGGGTCCTGTAGTCTCCTTGGACATGTGACATTGTTGCAGGGAGAGGATGAATGCAACCCAAGGCGATGTCATTGCTCGCTTAGGCAAGGTTTAAGAAAATAGGAGCAGGTATATGTCACAAAAAAAGGTACTCACAGAAAAGAAAAAAAAAAAAAAAACCCCCAAACAAATAAATGTTAGAGACCAGTTTCGTAGTTTTGGACCAACGTTAGCACTATAAAATGACTCAGTTTCAGTTGTACTTTAACCACTTGACCTCTGGGCCAATTCTGGCACTTCCCACATGCATGTAAAAATGAGCATTTTTTGTTAGAAAATTACAGCCTTTTTTAAAACAAAATTTTTCTAAAACATTTCATTGAATTTTAGTGCAGGCAAACACAATACAATACCCATTTCTTTTGATATATCATATAGGATGGTATGCCAAGGAAGTAAATAACATGTCACGCTCTAAAATGGTGTATGCCTGTGGAACAGCGACAAAATACAGTACCTAAAAATCTCCATAGGAAACATTTTAATAGCCTTTACAGGTTACCAGTTTGGAGTAAAACAAGCACTGTTTACATATGTGTGTGTGACCTACGTATGCATTTGCATTAGCACAGGGGAGGGGGGAGCTTTAAAGTTATTTTTTTAAATTATTATTATTATTATTTTTTGTGATCAACTTTATTGCTACCACAAGGGATGAATGACATTCATTGTGATAGCCTGGACAGTAACAGGTACTCTTTAACAGATCTGACCGAGATTTGTAATGTGCCCTTTGCCAGCATCCAATCACTTGAAAGTACTAGCTTATAACCCATGGTCTATGAATATCAAGGCTCTGTCCTGTATTGTGTGATAGATGTAAGACTTAGAAGAAAAGAGACTCTCCAGTAATTGACAGACTTAAATAGATCTTTACTCTGTTCAGTTCATTGGGAAACTAGTGGCTTTATGTTGAAAACTTAAATAATGGCAGTGGGGGAACACAAGAACTTTGTTCTTACCCTTCCACTCCGCTTCAAAGTAACAAAATCCAATAAGAAAGTGTACTATGCCTTGGTGTAGTTACAATATACAGCTTTTTACAATACAATATTTGGGTTTTTTTGTTCCTTCATGTGACATGCATTTTCCTGTAACCTTGCAAGAAACTTTAGAGCAGCCATATGTAGGACTTTTTTCTTTTTTTTTAGCTGATCAATGCTTGGGACCATGTGTGTGCATGAGGTTGTCCTCATGTAAAGGATAAATGCTGGTTACTCACTGTACTGTATTGATATGTCTTACCATGTGGCAAATTTACCATTCCACAATATGAATTTACATCCTTGGTATAGGTAAACTCCAGGCACAAAAACTTGAAATATACTACTCAATAGTCACAAAGAATCTAAAATCTGCTTGGTGTACACCAAATGCCCTTGCCTATACATAGCCTGTGAAGACAGCACAGACCTAGATGGTCTTCCCACTACAGGCTTTTGCAGAAAACAGGGAGGTGTATAAATGACTAGTCACCCTTTACACAGAGAGAGCGCAGCAGTGACTGGCCTTTATTATAGGAAATATCTTCATTTTGCAGATGTTTTCAGAGTGATATTGTAGAAATGCACAAAGTAACTTAAATTTCTTTATTACAGGTAGTTCTGCAGCGCCATCCATTTACGCAGTACTATAGATATAATATATATATATATATATATATATATATAAATAAAACATTTACATCAGTCCCTAACCCTCAAGCAGCTTACAATCTAAGGTCCCTAACTCACATTCATGCATACACATACTAGGGCCAATTTAGACAGGAGCAAATTATCCTACATCATGTCTTTAGAGTGTGGGAGGAAACTGAAGTACCTGAAAGAAACCCGTGCAGGTACAGGGAGAACATGAAAACTTCAGGCAGGTAGTGCTGTGGATTCGAACCAACGACCCTAGTGCTGCTGGGCAGAAGTGCTAACCACTTAGCTACTGGGCTGCTTGATAAGTACACCAAAAGGCAATGTCTCTTAGATTTAGAAAATGTTTGTTTAGCATGAATTTTAGCTTTAAGGAAATTGGTAATGGGGGAACTATATAGTCTGCCATTGATGACCATGTGAAAAGTGCTAGCTGCCTGGTTGTCATGATGCAGCTTTGGTTTGAATACATCCCAAGTCACTGAACAAAAATAAGAAATACAGAAAAAAACATTCTGATTTCTGTATTTGGACAGATAACGAACATTTTAATGAGGAGACCAGATAACGTACACCCGCCTTGAAAAAATTGGGCTGCTGTTGTTGATCTAATTTTTACAGTTTGCTTAAAGTAGGATATGGACGCCTCTGTATAGGTGTTACCTCTTCATGGCACAGACTCTTACCTTCATGTCAGTTTCCCTTGGAATGTGATCCTTGAAGTCTTCAACAGAACTTACAAGGAAAGGAATGTGGTAAGATAAGACCTAAAAGAAGGATTGAAAACGGTTATTACACCAGTCTCTCTGATCCGCTAAAAAGCTGATAAAAGATATTCCCTATGCACTTTTGAAACAAGTTGTTCAAGAGGTTTGCTGCTAAAATGTCAGGCATGAATTAGACCATGAACAACAAATAGATCAAAAGCAGTAATACAACAGAAAACATACTGTCATTTTTCAATGAACTCTCTAAAACATTAAAACCATCCATTTGTGAAAGTGTTAATGGCACCTTTAAGATAGAAGTAATCACTTATGATCCTAAATGTCATCTCATAAAAATTGGGTATGATCAAAAAATACCAAAGTAGCACAAGATATAGACTTCAAAATAAAATAAACCACCCGCTATGGGTGGAAACAATTCTGATTGTGCCTATACATGCAGCAATTAAAGTGGTTGAAAAAGTTTGAATGCATGAAGGTTAAAAAAAAAACCTGAGTGCAACAGCCCCCCCTCCCCTAGCCCCCCAATACTTACTTGAGCCCCATCTCAATCCAGCGATGTACACGAGAGCCTCGGCTGTCCTTGGTCTCTCCCTTTTCATTGGCTAAGACAGCAGCAGGAGCACTGGCTCCCACTATCAATCACAGCTAGTGAGTCAATGAGTAGACAGCGAAGATGGGGCCAAGAAGCGTCTGTGTGTGAAGGGACACAGAGCAGCGGCTTGAGAGACAGCTGGCTCGGGTACCCCCATAGCAAGCTCCTTGCGGTGGGGGCACTTGGAAGGAGGGAGGGGCTAGGAGAGCCAGCGGAGGACCAGAGAAGAGGAGGATCCTGGCCGTTCTGTTAAAAACCACTGTACAGAGCAGGTAAGCATGACATGTCTGTAACAAAAAAAAAATGCATGCATAAAAACAACAAAACTGACAATTAAAATGTAGTTTGCCGTCTACCCAGGAGCACCTCTTTTTAAAAAAAATTTGTGTGTCTTGTATTTGCTTTTCGGCACCGCAATAGTATGAACAGGTCTTTAACCATTTGCCGCCCGCCCTATGGCCGAATGGCGGCCGGCAAATGTCATCAGCGTTCCGGGTGGACGCCATATGGCGTCCTCCCGCACATGCGCAGATTGCGCTCCTGCAGAGCCGCGCAAACTGTCACCGGCCGTGTACCTCGGACACGGCCGATGACAGATCTGAGTATCGGCCCCCGTTGCCGGTACCATGTGACCTGCTGTGACCAATCACAGCAGGTCACATGACAGTTGTATACAATGGATGGCTTCATTCATGCCATCCATTGTATACTAGTGGCTAGCTGTGAATGGTCACAGCTAATCACATGCACATGTCATCTGATTAGCTGTGTCCAAATCACAGCTAAGCACAAAAAAAAAAAAAAAAAAAAAAAAAACCCTAAATTTATGAAGAACAATTATTTGCAAACTTTTATAACAGAAACAAAGAAAAATCTGTTTTTTTTTCAAAATTTTTGGTCTTTTTTTCCTTAATTTAGCAAAAAATAAAAACCCCAGTGGTGATTAAATACCACCAAAAGAAAGCTCTAGTTGTGTGAAGAAAATTATAACATTTTAGTTTGGGTATAATGTTGTATGACCGCGCAATTGTCATTCAAATTGTGAGAGCTCTGAAACCTGAAAAATGGCCTGGGCAGGAAGGTGTAAAATTGCCCAGTATTGAATTGGTTAAGGTGACTTAAGTTTTAGCAACACAAAGTGATTGTAAACCCTAACATATACACAATGACATAACTGGCCTATGATACACAGATGAAACAAACCCTCCTACACACGTTGTACCTGTTTAGCTGAAGTATTCTCTTCTCTACATTCATTTCATACGTTCTAAGTCCAGAATTTATAAAGCTATTCTGAGCTTTCAGAAAAAGGGGACAGAGTTGAAATTACATTCTGCAGAGGTCAGTGAGGAGCTGATTGGAGGAAAGGGACACAACCCCCCTTTTACACAGCACACAGGTACAGAGTTGAGGCTTTCAATCTGCTGGAGGTCCCTGCCCATCACCATTTTTCTCTTGGTGTAAGGAAAATTTGACAGAAGTGATTCATGCTGACAACAGAGGAATAAAGTAGCAGACAGAAATGACATTTAGTGTTTTTGAGTGATACAAGTACACACCATAGAAGGTTATGCTTTGTGCATATTTCATATCGGCGGTTTAGAACCACTTGAAAAGCAGTTTCTCTTTTCAGTGGAAAAAGAAAGACTGTTGGAAAGTTCACAGTGTGAAGCAGCTCACGCTTCAGAAAGTCACTAAAAGCAATGTGTCTCTGAGACCTGAGCTGTATAGCAGTGTGACACTAGATGCCGAGCCTAAACCAAGTGGATTCAAACAACATTGGGGCTATGGAGGGTAAAAGGTTAAAGCATTCTCAGTTAGAGAACACAAAGTAAAACATTTCATAGGCATAGGTTTTCAAAAGGGAAGCATATATATCTGCTGTATTCTTGTATAAACTACAGCTAGAACAGTGAGTAAATGGAGAGGGTTCAAAAGACAGAACAATGGCATGCTAAAATGAAGGATTATTAATTTTATCTCCTTTCACACTTAGCACTCTGAAATATTTAGGAGGATGAGTCAATCTGAACAGCTGGAACATCAAACGCTCTGTTCTACTTTGGCTGCATGTAAGAAAATAAGCACTTGCAAAGTCTTCAATTATACACCTGACCATATCGAAAAGCAACCATTACACTGGCATGTTGGAATGTTAGCGTTTAAAATCACAGTGTAGCTAAAATGGTTCTGACATTTGTGGTGTGTTGAAAAACCCTAGGTTTGAGAATAAAGTATCTATTTTTTTTTTTTATTTTAAAGGAACCCACATAAAGACTATATAGAGGCTGCTTTAACTGTGGATCAAGATGTGACTTAATTCTAGAATTGTAATTGTTCCAGGTTAGCAACTGAAAGTAGTTAAGCCAGAGATAGCCAGGAAACAAATATACCCGGGAGGTGGTCAGAAAACACTGTTTCAATATTTAAATGGTACTTGTGACTGCACCTCAATTTTATAAAACGACACAAGATATCAAAGATATTAAGGAATTTTAATGGACTTGGCACAGAAAGAAGATCCACAAATGTTCTTCAGGTGATAGACAACGTGCAACTTCAAAAGCGTTCCTGATCGCTAGCCACACCAGTGCCAATGTAAGTCAGTACCACTGTTCTAATCGCTGGCTACACCAGGGATCAGGTACCAGTAAAGTCACTGCCAAAAACATTTACACTAATGGGGAGGTCTTTCAAATTCTGATTAGGCCTGATGAGAGCAGCGGGGATTAAAAGTCTGCATTGATAAATCCCTCATACATTTCAGACAGACAAACAGTATCTCCCTAGTAAATGTGCCAGGTATCGGATGAAGTTATATAAAATTTATGAGAGGGTCACAGGGTACACATATGCCTTCCTTGTTTAAGAAGAGAAAGCTAGCCACCTGGAGCCCCCTCAATGCTCATCTTATATATGGGTAAGAGCAGAAGTATAGCTTGAAACCTTATGTCACCCTTATTCCATGAAGAACATCATCTCTGTGTGGGCAATTTCTCTCTCAACATGCCCTTTTCAGATATCTTTTTCTCCAGCAAACTGTGGCTTGTGGTACACTGTGACTAAGTCACAACAGCTTTCCATAGACTTGTAGCCACAAAGATTGCTCAGTACAAACTAAGGGAAGGTCTAGTCCCAAAACCTGATTGTGTTCAATAATATAATCTTCATATGGCAGGTATAGATTTCAACGAACCAGATGATGAAGCTCTACCTGGCAACTCAAAGATCTGCTTATTGGTACATTTACTGGTGTTATTGGAGTTCATTTAAGTATATCAATTGGTCATATACGTACAACTCATATGTCATCTATAAGTTCAGAAGAAGCCCTTCCTAAAATATAAAGAAGGCTCAATTTACTCAGGAAGACCCTGCACCTGGAAGCCTTCGATCTGATGCAATCATCTTCTCCCCTCTCTACCCAAATTAGAACTCCCCACAAAAGTGCTATGTTTGCTCCAATGTCCCTACAACTTGGAATCTGCATAAAAAAAATGCTTCCGTCGCTACTATGTCTCACTACGATATTAGTGAAGGTATAGTGAAGGGGTTTCTCATGTGCTTGACAAGCTGCCATTTGCCTGTATCTGATCTTCTACATACTGAACCTTTGCTTGTTTACCAAGATTTTGACTGCTGCCCGTATTAACCCTTTGCGTGACTACTGATCACTCCTCATGCTGCCTGAACTTATCCTGGCCTATTTAAATTGACCATATTTCTACCTGCCACCTGGACCTTTGCCTGTTTGCTGACCACACCTCTGCCTGTACCAACCCATCTGCACATCCCACTGATTATGTTCCTGCACAACACCATTCCCAGCTATTCTTTTCAGATAGCTGTGCTCCTGGAACCACAGTTCTTGTTTTGTTCAACCAGTAGGTTAGGCCTGCTTGGTTTATTGGAACAGTGACTGCTAAAGGGAAAGCTACAATATGCTAAATTCACATGGAACTGTAGTCATATACAGACAAGAAGCTGAAGGAGAAACTTCCTGAGAGATCATTCTGGATGGCTAAATCTTTGTACCTGGAAGATCTAAATGGTGGACTGGAGTACTCTTTGCAGTGGTGTCTTGGTGCTCTTTGGAAAAAGCAGGAGTCAACAAGACTGTCCACAAAGCTGTATTTGACCGATCTTTCAACGCCTTCCCCTCCTTTTTTCTTTTTTGTGCACTAGTAATCCCACTGTGATACCTAGCACATGACTAAGAAGAGTGCGATTACGCTTATTTCTGAAGTTGGGACTTTTCTTTACATTAACTTTCTCTTCATAAAATTTTTTTTTTATACAAGTGCATGAAATACTGTATATGTCCAATATCATAAATATTGTCTATTATTATTATGACCCTGATAGGGTAATATTTGGTCTTATGTTTATGCACATATTGGTTGCTTTTGTATATGATTTATTGCACAATGATACGGAGTATCAGATTCAGTTATATATTTTGACCAGGTAATATCTGATTTTGCACTCACACTCAAAATTGTTGTTTTACATACAAGTTGTGTAACATGGTTGGGTAATCATTTCACAATTCTGTGATGATGTTTTGTTTGCCATAATATATACAGGTACGTGCTGCACTTTTTGAGTAATTGTTGGAATATCCGGTATCAGGGTATTGTGCTAGCTGCTTCATATTATATAAGGAGCTAGCGCAAAATTTTCTTTTTTCTATCTTAAGCTAAATCCTCTGACCACTCATACAGAGGTAAGCAATGCAGTGTGTGTGTTTTTTATTTTTGTGACATACAAGATTCAATGCCCAGTACATAATTAGCTCACCGAGTTTCACACGTGAAATCTCTGTATTCAAAAGGTGTACAGATTGTGTTCTGGAATGTGTTCTGGAAAGTCATATCTATAAAGTAGCTTATTAAAATAACTTAGTGTAAAAAAAAATATATATATATATTTGCTTTCCAAATTTTCCAAAAATGTGGCAAAAAAATTTAATCTTCATAAGAGACTCACTATACCTCTTAGAAAATCCTTTGGGGTGTCTGCTTTTTAAAGTTATTTTGTGGGTGTTTCTACTGTCCTAGTGCTCCAAAAATGTGATAAGTAAACAGGAATTTAGAATTTATGCTCCTTGGATTTTGGGCTCCTTTATGTGTCTAGTCTGTGAAAGTCTCACAAACTGTATTGGGTATCCTTATACTCAGGAGTAGAAAAATGGGAAGCAAGTCTAGCTATGCTCATGTTGTGTGTATCTTAACAGACATATTTCAATAAAAAATACATTTTCATTTGACAAAAACTTCTGGCATAAAATGTAATCAAACGACTCACCATGTTACTTGGCAAATATGTTGGGTGGGTCCGGTTTGGCAAAAATTTATGAAGAAAGTGTAATTGTAGAAGTTTTAAAACAAAGTTTTTTTTTTTTTTTTTTTAGAAAAATGTTTGATCTCAGTTCCCATATAAAAAGTGTGTATATATATATATATATATATATATATATATATATATATATATATATATATATATATATATATATATATATATATATATATATATATATATATAATATAAAAAATACAGTGGTGAGTAAATACCACCAAAAGTAAAACCCGGGTAGAACCCGTGGGGATGAAAAAGCTTCTTGTGTGCAGAAAAGGAAGGACCGCGCTTTTGATGTGGTTCTTTCCCAGTCGGGCCTGTGGTAGAAAAGTACTCCATCTCCCAGTTAGATTTTTGATGTTTTTGTCCAAGGTGGGCCCCGAAAAAACGATCACCCTAGAAGGGCAAACCCGTGGGAGTCTTCTTTGGTGTCCATGACAGGTGACATGGTCCACTTCTTCAGAAAAGATTCAACGAAGGGATAACGAATGGCAAAGTGCCTCTTAGGACGTTCCCAATCCTTGTAAACAGATTTGTCAAAATGAGGAGGATAAGGGAACACCTTCGCCACATGCGGCTTTTGCCAAAGGGGACAGACGCCTCCACAACAGCCCCTGAAGCATCCTCCATTTTTCCATTTTAAAGCTTTTCTGCAGGTAATAAGGGCGTCCACCTGTACCTTTCTGTGTGCAATGGCAGCAGCAGAGGACTCATCCTCACTGTCAAAATAGCCAGGGATCTCATCAATAGGACCTGCGGACAGGCCCATGTCTGCAGTGGTACAGCCAGACTCAGGATCTGACGAGGCCGATGAAGCAGGATAGGGCAGAGGTCGCTTCTTGCTTGGAGGAGGGGGTTAGGTGAGGAAAAGTGGTCCTGAGACGCCATCACTGGGAGGGAGCCCACAGGGAAGGCACTGATAGGGAGTCACAAGCAACTCCAAACCAAGGATTACATTGCCTATGCAGAGAAAGGATATGCCCCAGGACTCACCACCACCAAGGCATGTGCAGAGATGCCAGCAGCCCCCTTACAAAGGAAGCAGGTCGAGAAGCCAAGTGGAACACACATCAAGCACAGTAGGACGCCTGGGAACAGTCACCCATGTGATCCACAAGGGTTGGAGGTAGCAAGGAGGCCTCTGAAACCCCACCCACCAAAGCCAGGCCCCGATTGGTCAATGCAGACACCAAAAACATGGCCACTGGGTTGTAAGACAAGACTGCTAGAAGAGTTAGAGTAGGAAAGTCAGACCCCAAGACAATGGCTCCTGGAGCTCTGGCACAGCAAGGCCCAATACATTAGAACAGGCTGCTGCCGGGCTAAAAGAACATTGCTGCTGCTCATGGCAAGATCTTTAGGAAAATGGCTGCCAGGAAAAAGATACAATAAGCCTGCTGACCAGCCACAGGACCGCCAGGCAGCATCACATGGCACCTCCACAGCAAATCAGGCATCCCCACTTGCCAGAACTGGAGGACAGTATGGCTCACAACCCCAAGGTAACTGCTAGCACCCAGAAAAGGTAGCCCAGAAAAAGAATGGGGGGTGGAGGGGAGCCCAGGGACACATTTGTCAATACAAGGAGCCTGACAGGATGGCAGGGACCCCACAGAGCCGACCATCCCAGGGAGTATCCGCACCCCACCTGGATGGGAGAGGGGAAACGCTACTTGATAATCCAAAGTGGCTGCAAATATGCTCTAAAGACAGAACTGACCTCTCCACCAAAGTGGGGGCTGTCGGCCAAAGTAGCTCTCTGACACAGACGTCCAGAACCCAGTCATAAGCACCACTGCAAGGCATAAAAAAGAAAATAATCATACGGAACTACAGGTCCCAGCAGGGAGCAAGGTCACTACTCCTGAATACTAGGCATAAAAAAATTGATTGCCTATGCAGAGAGGGGTTTATATCAGCCAGGACTGCCCATAGGCGGTGCAGTTTCTTTTTCTGCCTAGTGTCCTACTCCTGTAGGTGGAGCTATAAACTCTATGATCGAAAATGGAAGATGCTGTGTCCATCAATGAATGAAAGAGAAAAAGTGTACATTTCTCCTTATGAAGCAGCATTTTGCAGTTCACTTCTAACTATGCTTTCACTGGAGATATCATCAGCGTGGCTTTCAAAGTAATTTCCTGGATGGGAACGTGACATCTACATATTAGATTCAGGCTGAGATATTCCTGGCTAACGTCCTAATGTAAAAAGAATAAAGAAAAGGCCATTACCGGATTATAGTAAACTAAAATCAGGTGGAATACAAAGCTAATTTATATCTGGCACAGCTTCACACGGTAGCAAGAAAGATATTCTGATATACTTCAATGGCTCAGAGACTTAAAGCTGAACTCCACTTAAGTCCTTTGTAGAAAGTGAAGGCAAACTATGAGTTAAGTTCAACAAGCTTCATGACACCTTCTGGAATTATCTCTGTTATTTACATTTGACAGGTTTTTATAACTCCCTGGAAGATAGCTAACATTGCAGTTCCAGGAGCCCGAGGCTGGAACTTCTGGTCTCGGCATTTTAGTAGAGTCGAACAGTAACGTTGATGCAGCTGTTATGCCTGCCTCTCCCCTTCTCCTGCCCAATCACAGAAGCTTTTGTATTATGTGAACTCATTCACAAAATACAAAGGCTTCCAGACTGTTGTTAAATTTACCCATGCGATGCATTGCACATGGCAACATCAGAGCGGTTACCGGGATGGCAGGGAAGTGATAAGGCGGTTGAAAGGACAGAAGGAAGCCTGTGAGAATAAGACATAAGGCAAGTATATATCTATCCCTTTACCTCTAGCCAAATGAGCATTTAACCAATACTGGGAAGGATGTGCTCTCATGTCTAGTGTGGTCAGTTTGAAATAGGAAAGCAAGGGGGATGGCAGGAACACCAGGCATCTCATAGAAAGGTAGCAATGCAAAGACAACAGGATACTTTTTTTTTTAAACACAAGTACATGGTAAAGCAGGCACATATAAAAAAAGTATAAAAAATGGGATAAAATTCTTTTAAAATGATATTTTACATCAATTTAAATGGAAAAACTGACACTAGTTGCAATTAAAGTTATACTGCAGTGAAGTACTATAGCTGTACTGCAATATATTGTAATTATTGCCAGCATTTTCAAGACTGACAGAAAGAAGCAGCATTCACAAACAGAAAATAAAGGTTTCTAAGTTACTTACATCTCGTAAAGCTTCCTGTGCAAGTGAGCGGAATGACAAAATCACTCCAATGATGGTCATCCTCTTCAAGACACTGTCCACAGCTACAGGCAATGAAAGAAAAAATGTGGTTAATCTGGAGGTTTTAAATATATAAAACACAAGCACAATAAGGATGCATATTTATAAATCAGTAAATGTGACACTCAAACATACACAGCAATTTAAACACATGCACCAGGAAGATACACCTACTGTGAATGCTTAGTGAGGGTTGCTTTTACCGCTTTATGAATATGCCTTTTTGTTATTCGACATTAATGGACCAAAGCTGAAATTTACCGTATTTTCCGGCGTATAAGACAACTTTTTACCCCTTGAAAATCTTCTCAAAAGTCGGGGGTCGTCTTATACGCCGGTAACAGCATGCTGACACTTTTTAGGGGGGCGGCGCGGTGCTGCGCCCCCCCCCCCCTTCCAACAGAAGGGAAACTAAGTACAGGGGTGGGCAGGGGCTGCTGTCTCTTACCTGGCTCCGGTCCCACGACGATCCGGTCCAGGAAGCGCGGCTGCGCCTTCATTCGGTTCGTCCACTGGATGTTCGCGCGGCTGCTCGGCTCCGCCTCCTCACCGGTGATTGGCCGCCAGAACTGTAGCTCAGGAAAGGCACACAGGCGGCCAATCACCGGCGAGGAGGCGGAGCTGAGCGGCCCCGCAAAAATCGAGTGAAGGAGATGCAGGTAAGTGTACCGTGCTTAGGTGCTGCTGCAAACCACATATGCTGGCTGCAGCAGCACCATACTGGAACAGGGGTCAGCAAGTGTCAGTGGGAGGAATAGTGCCCCATCATTGGTGTCACTGATACCAATGATGGGGCATTATTCCTCCCACTGACACCAACGATGGGGCACTTTTCCTCCCCCCCACTGACACCAACGATTGGGCACTATTCCCCCCCCCCCACTGACACCAATGATGGGGCACTATTCCACCCCCCACTGACACCAATCATGGAGCACTATTTCCACCCCCCACTGACACCAACGATGGGATACTATTCCTCCCCCCCACTGACACCAACGATGGGGCACTTTTCCTCCCCCCCACTGACACCAACGATGGGGCACTATTCCTCCGACCCCCCCCACTGACACCAATGATGGGATACTATTCCTCCCACTGACACCAAAGATGGGACACTATTCCTCCCACTGACACCAAAGATGGGGCACTATTCCACTGACACCAATGATGGGGTGCTATTCCCCCCACTGACACCAATGATGGGGTGCTATTCCCCCCACTGACACCAATGATGGGGCGCTATTCCTGCCACTGATACCAATGAATGGGGCACTATTCCTCCCACCGACACCAATGATGGGGCACTATTCCTCCCACGGACACCAATGATGGGGCACTTATTCCTCCCCCCCCACGGACACCACCAATTGATGGGGCACTATTCCTCCCACTGACACCAATGATGGGGCACTATTCCTCCCAATGATGGGTGCTATTCCCCCCACTGACACCAATGATGGGGCACTATTCCCCCCACTGATACCAATGATGGGGCACTATTCCTCCCACTGATACCAATGATGGGGCACTATTCCTCCCACTGATACCAATGATGGGGCACTATTCCTCACTGACACTGATACCAATGATGGGGCACTATTCCTCCCACTGACACCAATGATGGGGCACTATTCCTCCCACTGACACCAATGATGGGGGCACTATTCCTCCCACTGACACCAATGATGGGGCACTATTCCTCCCACTGACACCAATGATGGGGCACTATTCCTCCCACTGACACCAATGATGGGGCTGATACGATTCTTCCCACTGGTGTGGGGGCACTGATACCAATGAGGGGTATTCCTCCACTGATACCAATATGGGGCACTAGTATAGCCCAAATGGGGCACTACATTTACCAGGAAAAATGATGGGGCACGTCTTCTGGTATACTGGAAGAGGGGTAGTCTTATACGGCCAGTCGCCTTATACACTACATTTTAACAGGAAAATACAGGGGTCGTCTTTATACGCCCAGTCGTCTTATACGCCGGGAATAAATAAAAAATGAAGAGACTCTGTAAATATAAAAAAATATATAAAATGGAAATAACCCCCACTTTGCAAAAAATCCATCATTTTTAGGGGGCTATAACAAGATAGGTTAAATATATCATAATTCTATGAAATCAGCCTACCTAAGAACCATTACATCCATTCTACATCCCACCATTACTTCACATCTAACTTATTTAAATATAATTTAGGCAACAGATACACAAAGGACTGAATAATCCTTCATACACCAATGTATAGACCAGGGAGATGCTGAACAGAAACACTATAAATTTCCAGCTTTGGAATCCTAGTTACTTACAAGATAGTCGTTTAAAAAGAGCTTGCATTTGTTCTGGTTTGTCGAAACTTGTCCTCATCTGCGTTAAGACGTCAACATTCTCCACCACTAGTTTCTGAAAAGATATGTGAATGTATGAATGAACAACAATATAAGGAAGAGAGAAAATAACAAAACAGTAATGCACTGAGACTAAAGATTTTCTCAAATCCAGTATAAGACACCGATAGCTTCATTCAGGTCAGTATTTGCATCAGATATGTGTGAATCATTTATCCTACTTTAAAGCCAACCAGCCAGCAAAGATGGCTAAAGTGGACTTTAGGAGCATGTACTGTACATTACAAAAGTGAAATTTACATTTTCCATTCTTTGGGTACCTTACCCCTCAGTTGTTTCAGTTTCCTCCCACAGTTCAAAAAAAAAAAAGTGTTTTGTTTTTTTTTTTACTAAACAGGCGCTAGTGTGTTTGTCACCCTGGCTGTGTAAGGGACACTGGGCTCCAAGCGAACTTGGCGATCGGGACTAACGTGAATGTAAAAATACATAAACGAATCAACACTGATTACAGATCTACATTGATTACATTGGTAGAAGACCAATGTGGACCAGTACACAGCACTATGCAGCCTATCTGTCATATGGAGCAGGGAATAAAAGGGAACTATGGAAAAAATAAGAAATCATATATGAATATACTGAAATATTGCAATAAAATGTAGTGAAAGACTTGCTTTAACATGCAGACCTTAAACCACTTGTTGTCCTAACATTTCTCTCATACATTTTTTGATAGAAAAACTTGCTTAGAACCCCAAACAATATGTATTTCCTGAAACCAAAGGCCTTGGAGAATAAAAAAGTGGTTGTTGCAATGTTTTTGTTACACAATATTTGTGCAGTCATTTATCAAACTCCAAATTTTCGGGAAAAAAAAAAAAAACATTTTAATGAATTTTAGTGCACACACAAATGTAATAAAAATACCCAAGTTTTTGCTAAAAATAAAAGGATGAGATGAGTAAATAGATACCCTACAAGTCATGCTTTGAAATTATGAGCACCTGTGGATAAGCATCAAACTACGGTACTGAAAAAAATCCATAAGTGAGTTTTTAAAAGCCTTCACAGGTACCAGATAAACAGGAGTCTGCCATTAGAAGTATTGCTTGCACTCTGATGTTTGTGGCAATTGAACACATGTGGTGCAATCACTGTTTACATATGCGTGCAAGACCTACATTTCCATTTTTTTGGATCAGCTTTGAACCCCCCCCCCCCCCCCCCCCCCCCATGATAGCATGGGTATGGGCAGTGACAGGTACTGCAACTGCATCCATGATCCTGGTATCACTACTTGTTCCAGAGGATGTACAGAACGTGGTTAAAGAGAAATCAATCTCCTTTCTCTAGCCTGCGTGTACTACAATCACTGTCCAAGATCTGTACTAATGAATTTAAAGAGTGGGACACACAAGGCAACAGGCAAGCAAGCAGAATCAGGAGAATTATATACAGTAGGAATATGCATAGTCCAAATGAAAAAAAGACACTCTCCAAAGATGGAGGCTTTTAGAAGCAGAAACAAAGATTAACTATAATATTGACAGAGGAATTGTTTAATTAAGCCTAAAATGACAGTATCTTGGCCCGTGTCTTCTGCTGAAGAATTTGCTGCTACCCAGCCTTTTGTAAAATATACAAAAGAACATTTTACATCTCTGGCAGCCTGCAGGACATAATTTTACCTGAAAACTCAAAGGAAAGAAAAAAGATTCAGGCTAAAAAAAAAAAAAAAAAATCTGAACTCTTGCAGTCTTTATGATGGGAATGTTTTTTGTTTAAAAGTGTTACTAAACCCACAACAGTAAAATCAGTCTGTATATGCAGTAAAGCATGCTTGCTAAAAGCACTGTGGAACCTAAGGGGTTAATCCTCTGCACTGTGTACGACATATCGTGTGGAGTCACTCTGCACATGCTCAGTTTGGTGTGTATTGCTAGAGGTTTTTGTTTCCGTGGAAGAGTGCATGTGATCAGCACAGGGCCAATCAGCACTATCCAGACAGAGGTCAGGGGTTCTGCATCCTCCTAGAGCAGAATAAAAACTCCTCCTACAAGCTTTAACATGTGCTCAGCTGGACACTGATAGAAGTCACAAGACTGTTTTAACTGCTGATGAGAAAAGATATTTAGCAGTTTGTATTTACTGAAATAATTGCATTTCCATGATCTGTGTACTGTGGGAGATCAGATATAGTGAATGCAGGGTCCTAGGATTAATAACACTAAGCATGACTGCCATGATGCACAGTATTGCATTTTCTTGGCCATTTGAAGAGCCGAGCATTATACACTGAAAAATTATCAATTGTGGTTTTTGCAGATACTCTTACAAGGTGTTTCTTTTTTGCTTTTCTTCAGTTTGCATCCCCCTATGGAAGTCATCAGGCGACTGCTCATGGAGTAATAATTATTCAAGAGTTTCTCTGTGTTGGATTTCTGTTGCCCGCAAAATTTCGTTAAGCAACTACGAATTTTTAAAACATACAAAAGCTTCCTAATTGCTTTACCTTAGAACAGTGTATTTTCCCAGCCACAGAAAATAACACTAAAAGCAACAGACAATAAAGCTTCCTTTTATTTTTTTATTAAAATAACAAACATATCATACTTACCTACTCTGTGCAACGGTTTTGCACAGAGCAGCCCCAATCCTCTTCTCAAGTGCCCCGCCAGCACTCCAGGCTCCTCCTCTTCGGCGAGTGCCCCCATGGAAAGCTGCTTTCCATGCGGGCACCCATGCGGGCTCAATCTTGAGCCGCCCTGTCTGCGTTCATGGACACAGAATGTGCTGCTCGGCCCCACCCTCTGCTCGCTTGGCACAGCATTTGACAGCAGTGAGAACCAATGGCTCCCACTGCTATCAATCTGTCTAGGGAGGAGGGAGACAGCGGTGAGAGCCACTGCTCTCTTGCACATCGCTGGATCAGGCTCAGGTAAGAATAATAAGACGGGGGGATGGGGGGTTCTGTAAGATTCTGCAGCTCAAAAGGTTTTTCACCCTAATGTAGAGAATACATTAAGGTGAAAAACCTTAAGGTTTTGGAATCACTTTTGTATAACTAAAAAGTATAACTGTCTGTGCCCCTATTAGAGAGTTTCGCCCTCTCAATTAGTCCCGTTTACCGTTATCACCTAAAATGGGAAAAAGAAAAAAAAATTTTGGGTTGTCCCCAGAACAGTAAGAGTGGACACTAGCTTTGGTGACCCTTGAGAAAACCAGGGATTCCCTTACTTTAGAGGCATTTTCTCTCACTCCCTGCTTTGGCTATGGGCAAGGAAGTGAAAGGAATATACCCCCCCCCAATGAGAACAAATGGCAAAAATGAACCTTACAGGTGTTACAACCCACCCTTGCTATATACTAAATGAAAAAAAAAATGTTTTGCCTTTAGTTCTATTTTAAACCCTCCACAAAGTTACATATTACAATTCAGTTTAGGGCTTAACGAAGCCTCAGAACAGAACATGCAGTGGATAAAAAAAAAACAAAAAAAAAAAAAAACACATCACATGGTTCAGCAAGAAAAAGATTTCTTTTGAATTGGTACCTTAAGTTCAGCCACTTGGGAGGAAATATGCCACATGAGACTTTCACTAAGGAACTTCATGCCATATGGTCCCAGCAGCTCCGACAATGCTCTCATCTCTGCAAGTAAAGCACAATACAGAAAAGACTATTACATTAACTGAAAACTATGAGATATATGCTGCATTTATTTTTTTGTTTAAAAAAAAAAAAGCCATTAAAGTCACAATTTACTTAAAAACATATTTTTGCTATTGCAGCAAAAATTCCCAGGTGCCTCCAGCTCCAACTTCGCATTCCAATTACTTGGCTGAATAATGCCAAACCCCAGCCCTCTACAGTAGCATGGACCAAGCCATAAGGAATGAATGGGCAGAGTGGCATGCATGTACAGCAGCTGCAGGAGGCGATCAGGATTGTTTGGTACAAAAGGCTAGGCAGTGCCAAGCAGGGGCACACAGTAAAGATCTCAGGAGCAGGGATGAAGATAAGTAGGTTCCTAGATGGCTGCTATTCCTAGGGGTGGGCATGCATCAGGGCCGAGGGCTTTCTTTCCTTGCTATTATCTGCCTACATTACAATGAGAAGCATGGTGACCTAGAAAAGGATCTAAAATTATTGAGTGAAAAGTTTTGTTTTATTAGAATTTTTATTGGCATGTTGATGAGGGAGGGAGGGAAGGAGTAACCAGGAAAGCAAAACATAAGCAGATTAAACTTAATCTTTAATACATGGCATATGATTCTCAGAGCACTATGAGTCAGCTAAAGAGAAAGCATGGCAGACTTCTACCAGAAGTTAGTCTAACAGAAAGCTTAGACTAAGTTGATAGGGGGCTCTAAGGATAGAGTTACTGCTATGATGGCTCATTGAAATATCCCAAAACATTGTTTTTTTCTTTTTTAGTGTGGGGTGTCCAAAACAGGCCCACATCTTAAACGTGTAATATTGAAAGTGAAACATACTTGCATTTTGTGTATTTATTGCCCTCTTAAATGCATACAAAGACTATTCGCTTTTGAAACTGATGCTTGAACATAGCAGTGCTGCTTAGCTTACTGTTAACTAGTATTCCCGAGTCCTTCTCTAGGTCTGTTTTAACCAACTAAATTTTAATGAACATATAGTAGGCAATACTATTCCCAGGAGGTGACTGCACTTACCTGGATCATCTCTCATTTATGTCTACTATGGCAGAATGGATAACGCTGAACTTCCAGGTTGCGTGAGAGCTTGCTTGCTGCTCTCACCACCCACCATACACATTTATTGCCTCATCCCCATAATGGCTGCCTCCTTTATCAACAGGAATGTATGAGAGGTGGACAATCTCAATCACTACAAGCCAGTGCTGGTGCTTTGCTCTGTGATGCATTCAAGATGTAGCTGAAGAGCATTAAACCTGCCTGTAATACCTGCTTATAGCAGCCATTCTTTTTCTTTCCGACACTGCCAGTCTAGGTGGCTCTCCTGATGGTAACAACAATGAAATGTGCCTGTGAAATGTATCGTGAGAGGGTACTTGCAGTCTCCATCAGAAGCCTGTGTGACAGGGTGATAATGCAGGAGTACCATTGTAGGGTAAGAGATAGAGCACTTTCACCATTTACCAATAACAATGACATGCATGGCAGGACCTTCAGCTATTATTCTAATGAAAGATGCAGATTTAACATGTCTTTAGAAATTACATTAATGTGTGAAAAGCTTATATATTTTAGGGACTCCTTTTTAATATACTTCAATCTTAACAGTACGTTCCATTTTCCAATTGCAGCTAGAGGTGTTTGGCAGACATTAAAAACAATTCAAACTTCATACAACAATGGGCCTTAATTTATGGGGATGATCTATACAATTTGTGCAAATAACACAAATAAATCAAAAGACATGCTGGTAGGTTAATTGGCTACTGTCTAATTTGGACATAGTAAGTGTATGAATATGAGTTAGGGACCTTAGATTGTAAGCTCATTGAGGGCAGGAAGTGATGTGAATGGACATTAAATATGTAAAGAGCTGTGTAGATTGACAGTGCTATATACAGTATATTCCCATATAATAGGCTCACTTTAAATCTAGAATTTCATTTCAAGCTCTGTATAGACATCCCTCAGCTCTTTACTGCATCAAACCTTTAACAATATTCATATGACAATAAGGCCTTATATCTACATCTGCTGGAGGTGCAACTGGAGCTGGAACAAACCATGGGAATATAGTCAGAAGATGCTCCTACGCTGCATATTTCAGCAAGCTGGTGAAGGGAGACCTGTGTCAATATCTTGAGACAGAAGCATGTCAAATTTACAAACCAACCCCCTGAATTACAAATTAACATGACAAAAATGGAGCCAACACTATAAACTATTAGGATGATCAAGTAGAAAACCTTTAAAAATTCAATTATTTTAGCTAGTTTTTTCCATGACTACACCTAGTGCACATTCAGTGCCAGCAATGGTATATGTAATAATTAGAGCTGCTTGCACACCAAGTTAGCACGCTCTCATCTCAAAAACCGGTATGAAACAAACACAATCCAGCTTCCTCTCAGCTGTTTCAATCTTATCTCACTTACCAGATATGTCCGAATACTCCTCCGCATTGAAGGTTAGCTCATTCTCTGTGGGCAGATTTACAAAGGCTTTCATTGCTGGAAAATAAGCTATGTGGCCATTGCTAACTTGCCTCAGTAGTGTTTCCAAATACCTAGAAGAAAATATAAATATAGATGTGCAAAGCTGATAGAGCCATTCCCAAAAAGACTTGCAGCTGTAATTGCAGCGAAAGGTGGTTCTACATAGTACTGGTTCAGAGGGACTGAATACAAATGCATGCCATAATTTTCAGATATTTATTTGTAAAAGAAAAAAAAAAAAATTTAAAACCATTTATCATTTTCCTTTCACTTTAAAATTCTCTTCCACTTTGTGTTGATCTATCACATAAAATCCCAATAAAATACATTTACGTTTTTGGCTGTAACATGACTAAATGTGGAAAATTTCAATGGGTATGAATACTTTTTCAAGGCACCGTATATTACATTTTACAGTTTTATATTTCCCACATTTCTTGTATTCATATTTGGTAACATATGTTTGTATGTAATATCAGACATCTATGCCATTACTATATCAAATAATCCATTTAACACTGACATACATTCAATAAAAAACAGTTGAAACAAGAATTTGAACTGTCAATTAAACAACACCACAATAACAGAGGAAGTAAAGAAGAAAAACTGCAAAAAAAAAAAAAAAAATAATAATAATCATCCCCCGTCTGCCTTTTGCACATAATATTCCAATTTTGAGGGTTTTGGGAAAGGTTGAAATGTTGACATCTGTTGAAAAGACCTCAGCACAGGAATACACAATTAAAGTTACACATCAAGAAAAGCATCTCCAGACTTCAAAATCTGTCAATGTGAGTACTTACCAATTAGTGTACAAACTGGTGATTGTTGGCTCTCCATGGCTGTCTAGATGTTGTGTTTGTTGAAGCAGAACATTGTTGAAAACCCTTGTGATGTCAATCTGCACATAATTTTCTATTGACTGGAGCACAGTCATGTAGGCTCTTACGCTAGTTAATAGCTCTGAGGGTTTTGCAATCTCTTGTGTGGCCTGATTGTACATGGTCATGCCAACAATAGACCTGTATGGCACACAATAAATGAAAATATTAGCTAATTCTTACAGCAGGAATGCTAAAATCCAAACACAACAGGAGGGAAAAGACATCCCTTATTGTTCAGAAGGTTGCATTATTAAAAACTGCTCCCCCTAAGTTTCACTTGATTTAACCATGTGGACCACGTTAACCCTTTAGTCAATTTGCAATAGTAAAAAAAAAAAACAAAATTGGGATCTACAGCTGCTACCAGCCACCTCTAGTGTTGGCTGAGGGCATCTGCTATGGCAAAGAGAATATGTAAACAACAATCTTCTAGACTGAAGGTCCCAGTGCAGGAAACAACCAATTATTAGCAAAACAGGTACCCCTTGCAGTTTACTTAATTGTGCAGGATGTGCATAAGGTATAAATGCTGACCGTGATCTTGTGGATAGGCTATGGACATCAATACATTTACATATCTTTAAAAAGGCAATATCACCTTGACCAAGCAGGTAAGAAAAATGTGTGTCCCTGCAAAGACAAGGCACACTGCCTCCATCTAGCTCCCACCCTTGCCTAACTTGTGCTCCTTCAGCGCTCCTTCCTTTTTTTCACAACTGGTACGAAAATCGCCAGTGTCAGTGACTATAGAGAATGGAGACATCACATCAAGTCATGTTGCCTGGCAATTGACTGCTGGACCCATGAACTGACAGGGTAATTCACATGCACCGTCATCCTTCACTGACCTCTGTAGTTGGAGGTGCCATGGACTGTTTCATCCTCAAGTTCAAAGCAAAAGCATTGATGTTGTTCAAGTTGTTCTCTGCAGCTCAGCTCACCATGCTCCACACCTGCTCTATATTTATATTAAAGATTAGAGCGCATAGAAGTATGCCCAGGGACTGCTGGGACGGAAGAGCAGGGTGAGCTGAGATGCTGACTTGATTGCTTCTTTGGTGAAATTTGAGGATGAATTGCTCCACAGAATCTTTAGCTACCGGTGCCAGTGAGGGCTTGTTTTGAAGTTCATTTACTGTTAAAGTGACTCTGTGATATAAAACATATGGGCTGCCACAGCTTGCCTGCTTAAAAATGCTAGTTGCCTGGCTGACTAAAACTTCAGTAACTGACCTAGAACAAGAATGCTGTAAGAAGTGTCTGAAAAGTGTCAGAGTTCCTTATTTGTACATTTGTGCTAGGCCAGAGATTCAGAAAGCAATGAAGCAAAAGTATTTGCATGATAGCCAGAGAACTATCACCCTAATATATATATATATATATATATATATATATATATATATATATATATATAAAAGATCGGTAATATCAGCATTCTGCCCATTCTTTTCTCATGACTAACTTCAGGGATGTTAAAAAAAAAAAAAAAAAAAAAAACCCTGAATGGCAATAGCCTGGCAACAGGTTCACTTAGGTGTGTGCATTTAAAAGCAAGGGGAGAAATATGCACAAGGAACTAGTCTATGATGATATTTTCCACATTGACTTAGCCAAATGTCACACCACTAATGTCCATAAGATGCTGCAAACATTGCTAAGGCTGCTAATTTAAAATCAACAGATATAAGGGGGATGTGTCCTGCTTCATCAACTAAATGTTCAACATGCAATTTTTTTTTTTACAAGCAGTCCATCTCTAATATAACATCAGCTCTCATTAGTGGCAATGTACACATCTGTCTATTTTTTATAAATCCAGAATCATTACACTGCACGACATAAGCCTGTTCCACGATGCAGAAGATTAGGACTATCTTTTTTTTCCAAAAACACATTCCAATGAAAGCACATCTTTTAACACTTCAAAATGACTAATAGCTCAAGAATTCCACACTATTTTACCTCAAACTTTCTTTAATATTAACTGAGCAAGTCCAAATTTCACTTTTTGGGAAGTTTATTAAAATGTTGCATGGCATAGCAAGCACTGACTTACTTGGTAAAGCGAATTTCCAAGTGTGAGGTCAGATACTCTCTTGGAGTGAACGTATGTTCCCACACCACCATATTTGGTGCATAATTAATGGAGAAACAAAGCTCTGAAAGTGCTGTGTGTAGCTTATCCAAACTAAGGGAAAAAGAAAAAAATGGTTATAATAACGTACAGAGGTCCTGTAAACATCAACTCTGCTGACAGATTTGGTGAAGGGACGATACCAACATAGGGACATTTTTTATTTTAATGCAGGGAATGCATTAAGGTAAAAAAAATGTCCAGGCTTTAGATCCACTTTAAGTCTGGTACACACATACTGAAAGTTTGTACGTGTACAGCAGTCTAACAGAAGCCGATCTGTCACATGGTCATATTGAAAAACCAGAAATAGTTGCGATCGCTGATCAATGTGTTCTGGTTGGGAGGGGGGTAGTGGGACCCCTGTCAGAACATAATAGCGCAACTGGAGAGATCCTCACATGACACATCGGTGTGTTGAAGCAGGGATCTTATTTTTTTTTTTTTCGTTCAACCCGCTGGTGTATGCCCATCTTCAAATGTTAAAAACTAATAAAAAAGAAAAGAAACAATGAAAACGTCAACCCTAATAACATCAACTCCTGTCAGAACATAATAGAGCAACTGGAGAGATCCTCATATGACACATCATTGTGTTGATGCAGGGATCTGTCAATTTTTTTTCGTTCAACCCACTGGTGTATGCTCATCCTAAAATGTTAAAAACTAATAAAAAAAAGAAGCAATGTGAAAACGTCAACCCTAATAGAAGGGAATTTAATGTCTTTTTATATTTCCTGGGGATGGAACAGTTCATGTAGCAAAAACGAGTAGAGATTGGCCTTTTTGAATACCAAGGAAAAAACACAACAGTGCTCTTACTTTGTTACCACAAGCCTGTTCTTTCTCATGCTTTCAACGCCAGGCTTCTCTCGTTCAGGTTCTCCTTTCTTTCCAGTCTGCTTTTTTGACTTTTTATTTACTGCTTGACTGATTGTTTTGGCACAATGTTTTGGCAGGAGCTATAAAAGAATAATAAGTGTTAATAATAAAGAAGGTATCCTAGAAAAAAAAAATGCAACTGGACAGACCTTACAACACAGATGAATTTTCTACCCTACTCAGCAGCACTGCCAAAATGTTAAACAACAAATGTAATACATTGGAAACCGTAATAATACAAAACTAAAAATAAATGTGTGCCACGTGATGGTGAGCTGCATGCAGCAGGCACAAACAAGAATGCTCTACACTTGAATCCATTATGATCTATTTACAATGAATGGATCCATCCAGGTAAGCTCTCTAAGGAAACCAGCGGTAAGGAAAGTAGGAGGAAAAAAAAAAAAAAAATACAGAAAAAAAAAAAAAGTTTTCTACAAGGTGGACTAAAGATGCGTAGCGTGCACAGAGCAGTGCACATGACCTCAGCTAATGTGCACTGCTTGTTCTAAAGAAATGGAAGTGAGGGTAAAAAAAAAAAAAAAAAAAAAAAAAAACAAAAAAAAGAAGGGAGGTTCAAGAGCTCACAGAGGACACTGCAAAGAAAGAAAACATAGTAGAAATGTCATGAAAAATAGATTACAGGTCCATCAAGCAGTGGATGTGTATAGATTCTTTTTAGAGAATAGAATTCCGCTTAGTATCAATTCAAGGCCATGAATATAGCTGAAAAAAAAATCCTACAAAATATTTTGAAGCTCCAGAAAAAGTATTAAAGCAGACATGATAGGATACTTACTGATCACTTGTACACTGTTCTGTGCAGATGTCTGTGATGAGATTGCACCTTGCTTTGCCATTTCATCCAAGAACATGTTGCAAGATGGTGCGATCCAATGTGATGTCAAAGAGATGTAGCAAATGGACAATCAGTAATCAATTTCCAAATTAATGAAGGAGATGTACGATGCAACGCTTTTCTAACATTGCAATTTTGGGGGATGATAGATAGATAGACACCTTAACGGTTGACTATATGTGCCAAAACCCAATTGGGATGCCTTCCTTTATATGCACAAGAACTTTAATGGCATCACCAGTCTTACCCCATAGGGTTCAATATTGAGTTGGTCCACCCTTTACAGCTATAAACAGCTTCAACTTTCTGGGAAGGTTGTCCACAAGGTTTAGGAGTGTGTCTTATGGGAATGTTTGACCATTCTTCTAGAAGCACATTTGTGAGGTCAGGCACTGATGTCAGACGAGGAAAGCCTCTGGCTCGGTTTCTCCATGCTTTTATTTTCCCAAACTGTTCTTCGGGTTGAGCTCACCAGGACTCTATTTCAGGCCAGTCAAGTAATCGCTAAGCTAATAGTTTTTTTAGTGTTTATCATCTGTGAATTTCATTGGCATAGAAATTTCCAGGAGGCCAAATTGTTTGCTTAGTATCGACATTGAAAAAAGTAGAGCAATTCTTGAAAAAAAAAAAAAACTTGCCAAAAAATACAGAAATGACTGTCATATAGAACATATGTATCCATTATTTTAAATGGACACTAACTGGTTTCACTCCAAAAACGTCTCAAAAAAAATCTATTCAAGTGCATCTAGCTTTCCTATTTCATGCGTAGCGTGCACAGAGCAGTGCACATGACCTCAGCTAATGTGCACTGCTTGTTCTAAAGAAATGGAAGTGAGGGTTAAAAAAAAAAAAAAAAAAAAAAAAAAAAAAAAAAAGAAGGGAGGTTCAAGAGCTCACAGAGGACACTGCAAAGAAAGCAGAAAACATAGTAGAAATGTCATGAAAAATAGATTACAGGTCCATCAAGCAGTGGATGTGTATAGATTCTTTTTAGAGAATAGGAATTTCCGCTTAGTATCAATTCAAGGCCATGAATATAGCTGAAAAAAAAATCCTACAAAATATTTTGAAGCTCCAGAAAAGTATTAAAGCAGACATGATAGGAATACTTACCTGATCACTTAGAGTACACTGTTCTGTGCAGATGTCTGTGATGAGATTGCGGGCTTGCTTTGCCATTTCATCCAAGAACATGTTACATAAAGATAGGCTGCGATCTCCAATGTGATGTCTCTAAAGAGATGTAGCAAATGGACAATCAGTAATCAATTTCCAAATTAATGAAGGAGATGTACTAAAACTTTCTAACATTGCAATTTTGCAAGGGATAGATAGATAGATAGATAGACACACACAGACTATATTGCCAAAAGTATTGGGATGCCTTCCTTTATATGCACAAGAACTTTAATGGCATCCCAGTCTTAGTCCATAGGGTTCAATATTGAGTTGGTCCACCCTTTACAGCTATAAACAGCTTCAACTCTTCTGGGAAGGTTGTCCACAAGGTTTAGGAGTGTGTCTATGGGAATGTTTGACCATTCTTCTAGAAGCACATTTGTGAGGTCAGGCACTGATGTCAGACGAGAAAGCCTGGCTCGCAGTCTCCACTTTTATTCATCCCAAAGGTGTTCTATCGGGTTGAGACCAGGACTCTTTTCAGGCCAGTCAAGTTCCTCCACCCCAAACTCGCTCATCCAGGTCTATATGGACCTTTCTTTGTGCACTGGTGTGCAGTCCTGTTGAAAAAGGAAGGGGCCATCCCCAAATTGTTCCCACAAAGTTGGGAGCAAAAAATTGTCCAAAATGTATTTTGTATGCCGACGCCTTAGGAGGTCCCTTCACTGGAACGAAGGGGCCAAGCTCAACCCCTGAAAAACAACCCCACTCCATAATCTCCCTCCACCAAACTTTACACTTGGCACAATGCAGTCTGGCAAGTAACGTTCTAGCAACTGCCATACCCATACACGTCCATCGGTTTGCCAGACAGAGAAGCCTGGTTTGTCACTCCAGAGAACACGTCTCAACTGCTCTAGAGTCCAGTGGCAGCATGCTTTACACCAGTGCTCTGAATCTGAAGCTTTATATTGCACTCGGTGATGTAAGGCTTGGATGCAACTGCTCAGCCATGGAAACCCATTTCATGAAGCTCTCTATGCACTGTTGTGCTAAACTGAAGGCCACATGAAGTTTGGAGGTCTTTAGCTATTGAATCTGCAGACAGCTGGCGACTTCAGAGCACTGTGTGCTTCAGCATGAGCTGACCCCACTCTGTCATTTTACATGTTGCTGTTGTTCCCAGTTGCTTCCATTTAATTATAATACCACTAACAGTTGACTGTGGAATATTTAGTAGCAAGGAAATTTCACGGATGGACTTATTGCACAGGTGGAAACCTATAACGGTTCCATGCTTGAATTCACTGAGCTCCTGAGAGCGGCCCATTCTTTCACAATTGTTTGTAGAAGCAGTCTGCATGCCTAGGTGCTTGATTTTTTATACCTGTGGCCATGGAGGTGATTGGAAAACCTGAATCCAATGATTTGGAGGGGTGTCCCAATATTTTTGGTAATATTATATATATATATATATATATATATATATACACACACACACACACACACACACACATATATATCTATATAGCTGTCAATTCCTACTGTAGGTTAGGAAATCAAATGCAGCATCCAGTTGCTTTAAAACAGTTAGTGCAATTTAGAATTAGAAGGTTGACTTCCTATTCTTACTTCGAGATAACAGACCACTGGTCTCAAAACTGTGGCCTTTTGCTTGTTTTTATCTGGCCCTTCAGGGACTATTTGATCCACTAATACCAACTCTAGGGCATAATTCCCCCCTCCTTCTCCCACTGATGCCAATGAAGGGGCACAACTCCTCCCAATGACACCAACAATTGGGCCGAATGACACCAACACGGGGGCACAATTCCTCCCACTGACACCAAAGATGGGGCGTTTTTTCCTCACTTATGTTGGACCTTTTCTACTTCTAATGGCCGCAGTCCACCCCCCTAAAGTCTGAAGGACAGCAAACTGGCCCTTTGTTTAGAAAGTTTAGAGACCCCTGCAATAGACAATACTTAGGTCATTTTGAAAAACATTTTCTTTGCAAAACATGACATTGCTAGTCTGCAGACAGAACAGATTTAACAAAAAAAAAATAAACATTTACTGTGTCACTTATTTTAAGACATTGGAAAAACACAGCACTATAAGTATCCTATAATATAAAAATCTGTTAATGCAATTATTTTAAAAATCTATTGAGCTTAGATAAATATTTTATGCCTTGATAGGGACAGATTAATTTTTTTTTAAGTTGTCCTCCAAGAAAAATATTGGCAGCTGTGCAGCACCCAACTGTAAAATATGCTGAGTTGAAATTTTAGTGTTTAAAATAATGTAAACCTACATAAAACATTTTGTCTGCTAAAAAAAAAAAAAAAAAAAAAAAATAAATAATAATATATATATATAAAAGTATATGAGATTAGCACAAAAGGATTTTCACTAAATGCTTAAAGAGGAATTTTCCTAAAATAATAAAACATGTATGTACATATGCAGCATTTATGATGCACAAGTACATCAATGAAATAAAAGTTACTCATTGTACACACATTGAGGTATATTTGCGCTCAACCCATTGGGCTGAATGGAAAAAGAAAAAAACCCCACAGGATCGCTGTACTAAGCGATGTTAGTACAGAGATCTCTTCCGCTTTGCCTAACATATGAGGTGGTACCAAGAAGTTTCAAGATTAGTTTTGTAAAACGCCAACAGATGGCAGCACGCACAGTCACAGGGAGCACCGACTTCCTAAGTGAGTGTGCCAAAAGACATCACCCTGTGTACAGAAGCTGTGTAACTGCAGCTATTCTTACCACGGACAGCAAGTTAGAACAAAGAGAAAACGTGAAATTCTGCGTGAAACTTGGCAAATCTGCCACAGAGACATCTGCCATGATTCGGCAAGTTTATGGCAATGTTGCAATGAGTTGTTCAAGGTGTTTTGAGTGGCATGTGCACTCCACGAGTGGAACAACATCACTGAAGAAAAGAGATCAGGAAGACCTTCAAGGAGCACAACCCCTGAAAATGTCAAAACCATTCAGCAACTTGTGCATGATGATAGCCACAGAACCATCCACAACATTGCTGCCATTGTCTGTGTGTCATACAGAACAGTCCAGACAATTCTCATGTGTGATTTGAACATGCGCCCTGTTGCAGCCAAGTTCATCCCCAGGCTGCAATTTTCTCACTTCCGTACCCACCCTACTCGCCTGGTTTGGCTCCTGCAGACTCCCTCTTCCCGAAGATGAAGATGCAGCTCAAAGGTTGCTGTTTTGACAACACTGCAGAGATCCAGCGCGAATAACAGAAGGTGCTTGACAGGCTTCAAAAGAAGACTTCCAGGACACATTCCAGAAGTGGCAGAAACGCTGAGCAAAGGGGACTATTTCTAAGGTGATAGTGTGCAAACTTAGATAAAGTACTTTCCTGTAAACAGAGCTAGTCTCAAAACGTTTTGATACCACCTCAAAGTGCTTCAAAAGATATAGAACAAAGTTATTTTTAGTGAAGAATTATGGCTGTACTGTGGCAATAGCCACCAGGCTCCTCAAGTAGGAATAACTGCACACTTGACTTTATATGCTAACTTTACCTGTTTTAAAACTGGAGTTTGTATTAACTTATTAAAAAAAAAAAAAAAAAAAAAAAGTCTAGCAGTTGATGCTCACCTTCTGAACTACACTCTCAAATGTTCGTTCACACATGTGTTGATTATGAAGAATGAAACAATGCTCATTAACATGCTTACTGCATGTATGATGTGTTTAGGAAGCACTAAAAATGCATCAAGAGTGCTTGATAAATACCCATGAATGTGTTGCCTTTTTTAGTGGGAATTGATGTAAAGAAAATGATCTGCTTTGAGGAGTGCTTAGTTTGTGGTGAGAACGCTGGCATTTTTGAGAATACTCTGCAGAATGGATTTGGATACTTTGATCTCTGACACTTGGCTTAGTCCAGCTCAGTTTTTCTGAAACAAAAAGCTTTGCCACTGGCAATATTTCTCAATGTCTCTGCCATGAAATCAGGATCAAGGCTGAAGCCATGATCCTGGTATCAACTTTTACTGCTGGCGATGGCCTTCTATGTTGATGACACTCAGATATACATCCACACCAAACCGCATACTACTTTGGTTGCTTCTCTCCTATCTAACTATATTGGTGATATAAAAACTTGGATGGCCACAATTTCTTTCAATTAAACTGTCACAAGACTGAAATCATGTTTATTAGCACCCCCACATCAATTTCGTAAGGCCAGTCCTGATAGCCTATTGATGGCACTGTACTTGAGCTTCAGTCTAAACTGTAAAAAACTAGGGGTGATATTTGATGATAGTTTAACCATTGATCTACATGTAGAAAATGCTGTCAAATCATCTTTTTTTTCCACTTGAGAAACATAGCTTGGCTGCATTCCATGCCATCATACACTGTAGCTGGAAAAGCTAATCCATACATTTATATTCTCACAACTTGACTACTGCAATGCTCTACTCTCTGGTGTACCAAAATCCACTATTAATCAACTTCAACATGTACAAAATTCTGCAGCCAGAATGCTGACTAGGTTGGGTACAAGTGATTTCCCCTATCCTAGAGTCCAAATATATGTAAGAATCTGCCCTCTTCCAATCCCTGTAAAAATGATTGGATGGCTGTAGAGCCTCTCAGATCACTTTTATTATTAATATAATAAACTTTATTTTATATAGCACCTGTACCAGTAGCTTCTCAAAGCGCTTTACAAGGAAAAAGCACAGGATGAAATAAAGGAAAAAAAGCTTGTCTAAAGAAAAAAGTTTAGATTTGATGTGAATGATTTTAGAGAAGATGACTCTCTGATGTTCTTTTGAAGAAAGGGAATTTCAAGTTTTGGAGCTGACTAACTAACTAACCGTCAGGTTTCACGTAGACTTAAAGATCCTCTTGCTCACCTATAAGGCTCTTCATGGTTTGGCACCCAGTTATGTCTCTGAACTTTTATCAACTTACTTCCTCCTCGTATATTCTACTCCTCAAATTCTTTTCTTGTGTCCCCTACTCACCTACAGTTGATGGGAGACAGTCTTCTCCTGCTATGCTCCAAAACTTGAAATTCCCTTTCTTCAAAAGAACATCAGAGAGTCATCTTCTCTAAAATCATTCACATCAAATCTAAACTTTTTTCTTTAGACAAGCTTTATTTCCTTTATTTCATCCTGTGCTTTTTCCTTGTAAAGCGCTTTGAGAAGCTACTGGTACAGGTGCTATATAAAATAAAGTTTATTATATTAATAATAAAAGTGATCTGAGAGGCTCTACAGCCATCCAATCATTTTTACAGGGATTGGAAGAGGGCAGATTCTTACATATATTTGGATAATTTCAAAATTATCATGGGCAGCGAGTGGTTAAGAAGTGACAGCTGGAGAGAAATAACAAGAATCATAGACCTGAGCTTCTGCAAAGACTCAGAAGCAAGGCGAGAAGCAAAATCTGAAAAGAAATTACCTCTTCAGGACAAAGCTCATGAGTGCAGCTCATAAAATGAGTACAAATGAGAGGAAATGAAATGGAGTATCTTGACTGGGATGGCAGTTCCAAACACTGCTGAAACATCTTCTCAAATGCCCGACTGTAGAAGCTAAAAAACAAGCACAGTTCATCCTTTTAGATAAAAATACATTCGCACATTTCACAAGCACAGTGCATTTTTTTCATAAACTGACACTATTGCGCACAGGTGGAAGAAAACATATACTCTGAATATAAAAAAGTTTGGTGGTAAGCATGTGCTTAAAACATACATCCAAAAGCAATATGTAAATTTCAAGTACCTATGATAAGACAATACAATATGCAGAGAAGTAAAGTATCACAAAATATAGCGTGCTCCTAGTTTTTGGCTAGAGAAAAAAGGCAGATTTATCCTCTTTTCTTGATGACATAGCATGAAGAGAAAGAATTAAAAAAATAAATTGTTTAAACTGTTAAAGGTAAGTCCACTTTTGTAAAAAAAAAAAAAAAAAAAAAAAAAAAACATATAAAAAAATAGCCTAAACAATTGCTATACAAGCTATAATGTAATATAGGCTATATTTATTCACACTAGATTTTTTGGAATCGCTGCGATTCTGTCTACGAACGCACTGTAAAAGTGTGAAAACGTGTGAATGCAGTTTTCAGGTGTCATTTCAATGACACCTGAAAACGCAGGGTGTTTTTGCTGCGATGGTGGCAGTTTCTTTATTCGCGCGATCACGCACACATGCGCAGCCCAAAAAAGGTTCCAGATCCCACGATTTGAAAAAAACTAGTGTGAATGGAGCATTAAAATTGACCTTTTCTTTTCAATCTGCAGTCATTGTAATTTTCTATGCTTGAGATGATTGTAGCTGTATTAGTGCACTTGTGACAAACAATGGAGTACAGCCAATGATACTTTTTTTATTTGCACTAACATACATATTTTTCCAGTACAAGCTTTTGATGTATGTTTCCTTCTTCAAGCTCCAAGTAGTTTCTTTAATTTTCTACAAAATCCAAAACAACATGGCTATGGCAACATGGAGGCATTCTATACATTGTTGGCATACAGAATGCCCCCAGAAATGTCATTTACTGCATGTACGATTGGCTCACTGATTTTCTTAGGAGTCAAAACTATAGGCACAACCTGCAATAGAAATTTTAATTTGGATGAAATATTCTACAAGGGTTAAATACTTATAAAGAAATGCAGACCCCACAGCCTCTCTAATCAGAACACAGAGTGCACCAGCTGATTACAATGAACCAGTCCATCCCATTCAGGTTTAGTATCCAAAAAGACAAGGTGAAAAGACAAGATGAAAAACAGTTTTTAGTTCAGAGGAGAAAAGAGTAGACTCTGCAACAAAGTTTTTTTTTTTCATCTCTGCAATGTACACTGACCACCCAGAGGGGATTGGGGGTTGTTTTTTTCCCCTCAGCAAAAGTGGAGTTACTATTTAGCCCAGGTATGAGTCACTTTTGTATCCCATCTGTACCCCTCTAAAACAGATTCCTAATAAAAAGTATGCTTCCTTGGAATGTCAGATTATGTAATCTGAAATACTTTATCTCCTAAAGTATTAGGAGACTCCTATATTTAGTAAGAAAATGACTAGCACTAAAGAGACACCGGCACTGTAGTAAACTGCACTAATAGGATGCCCCTAGGGTCTAATAAGGAAATATCCATTTGGCTAAAGTTGGACTTTAAGATGCATTGCTACAAAACTAAAAAAAAAAAAAAATGAACATTGTACCTTACATATTGCAATCTGAGAAATGGAATGTTAATCAAAATCCCTTTATTCAAGACTGTATTGGAGCATCAATAGAATTCTGCAAATGGTTTTAAGCACTGCTTATAGCAAAGTCTAACACACACACTGCTCCAAAAAATTAAAAGAACACTTTTTAAACAGAGTATAGCATCAAGTCAATTAAACTCCTGGGATATTGATCTGGTCAGTTAAGTAGCAGAGGGGGTTGTTAATCAGTTTCAGCTGCTTTCGTGTTAATGAAATTAACAACAGGTACACTAGATGGGCAACAATGAGACAAACCCCCAAGCAGGAATGATTTTACAACTGGAGGCCACTGACATTTATTTCCCTACTCATCTTTTGACTGTTTTTCACTAGTTTTGCATTTGGCTAGGGTCACTGTCACTACTGGTAGCATGAGGCAATACCTGGACCCTCATTCATATAAAGATATTAGCCTGGTAGGATCGTAATTCTTTTAATTATTTAACACGATACCTGGACCCTACAGAGGTTGCACAGGCAGTCCAATTCCTCCAGGATGGCACATCAATATGTGCCATCGCCACAAAGTTTGCCATGTCTCCCAGCACAGTCTCAAGAGCATGGAGGAGATTCCAGGAGACAGGAAGTTACTTTAGGAAAGATGGATAGGGCCGTAGAAGGTCCTTAACCCATCACCAGGACCGGAATCTGCTCATTTGTGTAAGGAGGAACAGGATGAGCACTGCCAGAGCCCTAAAAAATTACCTCCAGCAGGCCACTGGTGTGAATGTCTCTGACCACACAATCAACAGACTTCATGAGGGTGGCCTGAGTGTCCGACGTCCTCTATCCCTGCCTGGCACCACAGAGCTCAATTGGCATTTGCCATTGAAAACCAGAATTGGCAGGTCCGTCACTGGTGCTCTGTGTTTTCCACAGATGAGAGCAGGTTCATCCTGAGCACGTGACAGACGTGAAAGGATCTGGGGAAGCCGTGGAGAATGTTATGCTGCCTGTAACATCGTTCAACGTGACCATTTTGGTGATGGGTCAGTGATGGTCTGGTGAGGCATATCCATGGAGGGATACACAGACCTCTACAGGCTAGACAATGGCACCCTGACTGCCATTAGGTATGGGGATGAAATCCTTGGACCCACTGTCAGACCCCACTCTGGTGCAGTGGGTCCTGGGTTCCTCCTGGTGCATGACAATGCCTGGCTTCATGTGGCGAGAGTACGCAGGCAGTTCCTGGAGGATGAAGGAATTGATAACACTGAACAGCCTCCACGCTCGCCTGACCTAAATCCAATAGAACACCTCTGGGATATCATGTTTGGGTCTATCCATGCCGCCAGGTTGCACCTCAGACTGTCCAGGAGCTCAGTGCTGCCCTGGTCCAGATCTGGGAGGAAATACCCCAGGACACCATCCGTCATCTTGTTAGGAGCATGCCCCGACATTGTCAGGCATACTTACAAACACGTGGGGGCCATACAAACTACTGAGTACCATTTTCAGCTGCTGTGATGAAATTTCAGCAAAATGGACAAGCCAGCTGCATTATTTTTACACTATGATTTTCGGGGTGTCTTTGAATTCAGTCCTCTGTAGGTTGATAACTTTCATCAAACAACAGGGCATCCTTACGTTTCTAACACAATACCCAGTCCATATCAATATAGACATACAGCATAATATTTTTCCCCATTGAGATCTGAATGTGTTTTCAAAGTGTTCTTTTAATTTCATTTTTTTTTTTAAGGTGTGTGTGTGTTTTTTGTGTGTTGTGTGTGTGTGTGTGTGTGTGTGTGTGTGTGTGTGTGTGTGTGTGTGTGTGTGTGTGTATTTCAAGGTTTTTTTCTAGGTTATTTTATGCAGTAGCTGGAGTTCACCTGACAGAAAACATGCACAGTGCTGCAGAGGCTTATTGGAAATCCCCAGCAAAGAATTATCTATAATAAAATATAAAGATGAATAGTGTAGTTCAGTACTCACAGAGGCCATTTTTTTTTTTTTTTTTTTTTATGTCTCAACAAAATACTGTAGTACTGAAGCATGCTGAGTTTGAACAATGGTGTAACATGTTGGCATGGTGCAAACAGATGCTGTTTGATACTATACTATATATAAGGAAAAAAAAAAAAAAAAAAAAAAACACACGCTCATTCTAATCCAGAAATAAAGGATTACAGTGCCACAGCCATTGACAAGTCTTTGCACAAGGCACTTGTGTATAAAAGGTCAGGGTTCAAAATTGTAGCTGTAAGGACTCATGCACACTGGTTTACTGTAAAACACTGTTTTCACTGACAGGAGAAAATCAGCATTTAAAAACTCACCTACGCTGTGTTTATTTCAAACTAGTTTAAAAGAGTTTAGAAGCGTTTGGTGTTTGGGCGTTTGTTCATTTCAATAGCCAGAATAAATTAAGTTTTTCTGACAAAACTCTGCTGCTCCTGGACGCACTGGCATTAGGATTTTCTTTCCCTGGCTCTCAACTCTCCTGCTACTAAACGCTGCTAAAAGCTCATGTGTGCATGGACACATAGGCTAACATGCAGGGGAGTTTAGAGGAAGAAAAAAACAAAAACACGCCAGATGCCCCTAGAAGTAGCTGTAAAAATGTCCAGTGTGTATGAGGCCTAAAAATAAAATAGGTAATCTAAAACATATTTATACCTCATTTTATAACAGCACTTACCATTGTATGAAAGAAAACTTCAAAATACCATACTTCGAATGAGTCGCTGACCTAATACAGATTAGGTGTCCTGACTACACCATGAATGGCTTTTTACTTGTTCTGAATTAAGAATTTATTTTAGTGCAACTGTGGCCATTTCACATACCTGTATGTACATAATCCTAACAACCTGTAAATAAGCTTTTGTCACCTTTGGAACATGTTACATGTTCCATCCTTCTTAGAGTGGAACAGGTAACATGCTTCAGCAAATGTAGCTTCTCCTACCAAACCCCCTTCCTGTGACAGCGGGTGGGAGATATTCTCTCCACCCCCCGTCACTATTTGACAACACCACTGCCATGCAGGATTACGCCCATATTTCCTGTGAATGGATAGACTGCCATTGTGGCTGACGACTTGTAGTTTTCAATGATCTACGAGAGCAATAGTGAGTGTTCTCGCAGTTCATTGATCTTCTTGGTCTCCGGTAACTGCCTGCCTGTATGAGGTATTCTTTTTTTTTAAAAAGGTGAGCTTATCCTTTAAAACACATTTTCGCTGACTTCCTTAACTGCAGACACTGTCCAGCAATTCTGACTCAAAGCCCACAGCAGATGCACTGAAATAAATCAAGTAAATCTCTTGACAGCTTAGCCCCCCCTACCAGTGTACCTATTCTGTGATAACATTAAAAGGCTGAAGGGGAGTCAGTGATGGAACAGGGTAGCAGTGTGAGCTGATTTTGCTTAGAGCAAGAGGAAGAATTGCTCCACAATGCCTGCAGGTACAGAAGTCAGTGATTTTTTTTTAACAATCATTTACAGATTAAGAATATATATTTATACGAATGTCCAAAGACCAGCCAGCCAATGGTTTATTTTAAGCAGAGGCAACAAAGGAAGGTGCTTATCAACAGAGCAGTAAATGTATTTCTTTTCAATATAAAAGAATTAATAATTGCAATAATAAAAAACACCTATGCTAGAACGTTTCCACTCAAAAACAGTAAAACAGAAAAAACACTTGACAATAGAATCTTACCAAAATATAGACAGATCAGAAGTTTCCACCAACATTTCCACTAAGGAATCCACCATTTTTTTTGTGTGAAATATTATAGTGTTCATCATCTTTCCAAGTTCTCGGTGGTCTGCAAGACTTAACGAAGCTTTGGAAACACTGGTGTAGGCCTAGGAAAGTAAAAGTTATTCATTAAAAATACAATGGACATTTCATAAATTGAAATTTAAAATTTGTTAGTGTAAACATGGGGTATTGACAAACATGGGTCCCATTTAATAATACATCTAAATAAAGAGGCAGCTCACAACAACCAATCAAAATCAAAGTGCTATTTAACAGCAGTAGACTGGAAGCAAACACATAGCTGAAAAACAGTTCATACAAGGTCCAATAGGACAGTGCTGGGCAACCTTGCCAAGAAAAGTCACCCAAATTTACAAAAATGTACATTTATACCCTCCTACCATGAACACGGTTTCTATGCATAGTAACCGTGATGATGATTTGAGGGTAGGAGCCTGTGCACACTGATAAAGTTATGCCCTTAATATGGGAGTAAGATGAAACATGCTCAGAAAGATGGAGTTAGCTTTAAGCTAATTAACTGATCTCACTGTATTGCACAGTCATGCTGTGGTATAAAAAAACCATACATTTCATGAATATTAACAGATACTGTAGCAGTACCAATGATATATGCGCAAGAGACCAGTCATTGCAAGCTACTCTCAATCAGAGATGAGCTTGGGCATCCTCCAATTTCATCCTCCAGTCAAACTCGCAGGCCAATCCTGCCCAGCAGGTCATGTAAAAAAAAAAAAAAAAAAAAAAAAGTAGAAAAAAAAAAAAAAAGAAAAAAAAAAAATCTCATCCCTACTTTCATACCTTTTTTTTTTTTTTTTTTTTTTTTTTTTTTTTAAATCACAGGACAATTGGAAGCTCCAAAAGTTAAAATATATAGAAGAATCGAAAGTGGTGGTAAACTGAAAAATTAGATAATCCACTATCACCAGGTAAATGGATCTGAGCCGCACACATACGCAGCAATGTGACTCCCGTGCGTATGCACAAAAGTGACATCACCTCGGCTTGGCCATTTAAGCAGCTGAAGATACCAAACCTGGAAGGAAGACTAGGCAAAGATGGAAGCTGCCAGGGACTGGGGAGAGCCTTGACATTGCATCACTGGAGGGCTACATTTGTAGGTAAGCCTAACAGAATGTACTAGCATACAGTGTATACCAGTACATCCTGGCCTAAACCTACAGGGGGAGCCAATTTTATTTAATTTATTGCAAAGACTTTACTACAGCACTTAACTGAAAAACATATGAAATGGACATTGCATAAATATAGTAAATTGTTTAAAGCTGGCAAAGACCAACTTCATAAAAGATCAACAGATCAACTTTATAAATACACATACGTTATATTGCCAAAAGTATTGAGACACCCCTTCAAATCATTCGATTCAGGTGTTCCAATCACCTCCATGGCCATAGATGTAAAAAATCAAGCACCTAGGCATGCAGACTGCTTCTACAAACATTTGTGAAAGAATGGGTCACTCTCAGGAGCTCAGTGTATTCCAGGGTGGTACCGCGATAGGGTGCCACCTGTGCAATAAGTCCATCCGTGAAATTTCCTTGCTGCTAAATATTCCACGGTCAACTGTTAGTGGTATTATAACAGAGTGGAAGCAACTGGGAACAACAGCAACTCAGCCACAAAGTGGTAGGCCATGTAAAATGACAGAGCGAGGTCAGCATATGCTGAAGTGGACAGTGTGCAGAAGTCGCCAATTGTCTGCAGAGTCAATAGCTAAAGATCTCCAAACTTCATGTGGCCTTCAGTTTAGCACAATAACAGTGCATATAGAGCTTCATGGAATGGGTTTCCAAGGCCGAGCGGCTGCATCCAAGCCACACATCACCAAGTGCAATATAAAGCATCAGATACAGTGGTATAAAGCACGCCGCCACTGGACTCTAGAGCAGTGGAGACGTGTTCTCGGGAGTGACAAATCAGGTTTCGCTGTCTGGCAATCTGATGAACGTATCCAGGTTTGCCAGTTGCCATGAGAACGGTACTTGCCTGACTGCATTGTGCCAAGTGTAAAGTTTGGCAGAGGGGGGGATTATGGTGTGGAGTTGTTTTTTTAGGGGTTGGGTTTGGCCTCTTTGTTCCAGTGAAGGGAACTCTTAAGACATCAGCATACCACAACATTTTGGACAATTTCATGCTCTTAACTTTGTGGGAACAGTTTGGGGATGGCCCCTTCATGTTCCAACATGACTATGGACCTTGCATTGTGCACTGGTGCACACAGACACGGATGAGAGAGTTTGGGGTGGAGGAACTTGACTGGCCTGCACAGAATCCTGACCTCAACCCGATAGAACACCTTTGGGATGAATTAGAGCGGAGACTGTGAGCCAGGCCTTCTCGTCCAACATCAGTGCCTGACCTCACAAATGCACTTCTGGAGAAATGGTCAACCATTCCCCATAGACACACTCCTACACCTTGTGAACAGCCTTCCCAGAAGAGTTGAAGCTCTTACAGCTGCAAAGGGTGGGCCAACTCAATATTGAACCCTAAAGACTAAGACTGGGATGCCATTAAAGTTCATGTGCGTGTAAAGCCAGGTGCCCCAATACTTTTTGCAATATAGTGTATCTGCAAAAATGTGGTATTCCGTTAAGGTATCTCAAACTCTCAATCGCATTAGCAATTACTTTGGTTTTAAACATGAAGAAGTAAATAGCTTATTATCCCTCTTAAGACACCTTCCAGGTTCTGGCAGAAGTTATCTGTGTTAAAGTTTTGCATGAGGCCTCAGGAGCAGCGACTCCAGCTTATCAAGAGGTAATCCTTTAGCACTTATGATATAAAAATGAGGACTCCCTACAGGAACAACTGTGTATCCAGTTCACCAAGTAATACATGAAAATGTGGTACAGGGGCCCTGCTGTTTACAAGAGAGGTGAAGAGCTCACCAAGTTATTACACTGAGGTTTATCTAGAAACAAAAGTGCACTTTGAATGCACTAAGATATCTTTCCACCCAATACATCAATTCGGTCTACCAGATGCTTTTCCACACCACTGCTCTCCAGCAGCCGCGACCATACTGTACAAAACTTACTAAGAAACCTTGAGATTTGAATTCTGGGGGATTAAAGTGCCATTGTTCAAAGGATAAAGCTCAGATTTTTTTAAAGCCGCTTAAAGAGAAGTTTGGCAGACACTTCTGATGAAAATTCCTCGGCTTTAGGTTCCTCTGTATTTCATCTTGGGCAGCTATGAATCTGTTAAAATGATCTGTGTGGATTTCCATGACTCAATCTGAGTGGGATGTTAAGGTTTGTCAGCACATCTTTTGAAGCATGGTTTCACCATTATCTCAAAACAAAGACAAAAACGCCCAGATAGCTTGACTTTAAAGTGGTTTATTTTTTCCCTCCTTGAAAGAGGACCAAGAAAAGGCCAGCTTGTTTTTGTTGAAACCATTATGCATTTTGATGCACAGCCTCCTGGATTCCAAGCCAAAAATAATACAAGCGGAAGCCATTCTGCAATCATCAAAGCGTTCTCAGGTCAAAGAGACAAAGTGCTATTCAGCTACTGTTGCACAGATGTTAGTGCAATTCTTACATCCAGGCCCTAGCCAACACATCTCTGCCTCCAAATCTGGCAAGTGATTTAATGTCTCAGTTGTAGAACAATGTGCGACATTGGAGACGAAAAAAAAAAAAGCGGTCCTTTCCAAATTCTCATTATACTATTTAATGCTGTAATTCATTTCCATTATCTGTAAAAATGTTTTCAAGAACACCAGGTTGGAAAAAAAAAAAAAAAAGATCAAACCTTACATTAGTATGTGTCAAGTGCATTTTTGGCAAGGGAAGTATTTTGCCTGAATAGGTCGTGCTAAAAGCTGATACTTTGAGTTAGGAATCCAGTTTGCCTACATTACTATAACAGTTTCAATATAAAAAAAAAACCCAATACACAAGAGGTTAAAAGAAAGTATATAAAATTTTATCAGAAACCACAAAGTTATTGGTACATACTGTATATTGCCCATTAAACCATGATCACTCTTAAAAAGATGAATATTTCCCCACTGATATAAGCTTTGTTTGTTATGTATTGCTTTAGCCTGCTGTAGCTTTCCCCACCTGGTGTCAGGAATATAAGAAACATGCGTTCTTGAAAACAGACTATTTTCCACATGAATTTGATATGAAGTTTCGTTTCAACCACACATCAGATCCATTATTCACCCCCTTCCTGCCCAAGACAATTCAGCTTTCAGTGCTGTCACACTTTGAAAGACAATTGTGCAGTCATGCAACAATGTACCTAAAAGAAATTTTTGTATCATTTTGTTCAGAAAATAGAGCTTTCTTTCAGTGGTATTTAACCACACTGGGTAAAAATATTCCAAGTCAGTGTACATTAATCAGTCTGTAGGAAAGTTATTACAGTCCACAAACTATGGCATGTGTGTGTGTGTGTGTATATATATATATATATATATATCTATATATATATATATATATATTTATATATTTGATCAGTCCTGATGTACCAATGGCCTCATTTCTTGAGTCCCAAAAATGACAGGACCGTACAAACACCCCACAAATTACCCCAAATTGGAAAGCAGACAGTCCGAGGTATTTAGTAAGAGGCATGTTGAGTTTTTTTGAAGTTGTACATTTTTGTCACAATTTTTTAGAAAATCAATAAAGTTTTTTTTTTTTAAATTGGGGTTTCACACACATACTGTGACCATAGCAATGCAGTGTTATAGCAAAACTGTACTACTCTGGCGAGGCGATCAGGGTTTTTTTTTATACACATTATGATTGCTTATAACTGTGAATATCTTTGTTATAAACAATTTTTACTGAATGAAACTGATTCATTCAGTTTGGCCAATCACAGCTAATCTCAATAATACAAAGTTAACCACATGGTACAGATGGGCTGTGATTGGCCCTGTCTGTATCATGTAATCACTGTGGCCAATCACAGCAAGCAACACAATAGTACACAATGAATGGCACTGAATGGGATCCATCCATTGTGTACAATTGTTATGTGATCTGCATCCACAAGAAACTTTATTGGAGACTGGTCAGACAGAACACCATGG